ATATATATATATATCTCTCTCTCTCTCTCTCTCTCTCTATACTCTCTCTCTATATATATATCTCTCTCTCTCTCTCTCTCTCTCTCTCTCTCTCTCTCTCTTCTCTCTCTCTCTCTCTCTATCTCTCTCTCTCTCTCTCTCTCTCTCTCTGATATTCTCTCTCTCTTTAAACTAATCACGATATAAACTCATCAGGATGTATATTATTATTGAAACACAATGCTTAAAACAATCATATCACAATTTACAACACTTTAAAACCGACTCCGTGGTGTAGCCGACAGAGCGCCCGCAATGAAAACGGAATTACCATACCCAGGATACCCAGGGTACCACAGTACATGAGTTTCGGGTTTACTACGGGATTTGGGTGAAGTTTGCACTTCCCCAAAGCCTTTCAAACTCTAGATCCGTTTGTGTAAGAGACACCCGGGTCTTCCCTACAACCCTATAAGAAGAAGCAGGAATATAGATCATATTATATACGCTATCTGAACACGTCATAACTGCATGTAGGGGATTGTGGGAATACCTGGGTACTTAGTCTCTGAAAAAAAGATTATTTTCATGAAGCAAGTAATTATTTAAACTCAAAAAGAGCCCCGTTGTGGAGGGAGATTCAGAACTTAGGATAATCTAGACTTGCTTCATTTAGTGATTTTCCATTGCACATTGGGCTGGCGGAAGGGAAGATAATATGGTTCAGAGACTAGACAGACCACCCTCTGGCCATGTACTGTGCGTCGGCGTACCGGTATTTCAGAGATTAGCGACGGTGTCAGTTACAGAGATTAGCGAGACGTTTAGCACAGCCCTGTAATCTCCCAATCATCAGTCAGCTGATAAAGAGGCTGGTACGAGCTTGGTGTTGCAATCCGTGTCAGTACCAGCATAAACAATGATTGCAAAATGTTGATATCAACAAGCACAGAATGCACCGTAGTTACGATGCAAGATATGGGGTGACAGAGTCGAGAGTGTGTTCGTTCGTTCTTTCGTAGGTACTGGTACGTACGTACAGAGTCGTGCAAAAAGTATTCGACACTTTGACGTAATTTCCATAGACTTACGTGTTATTTCAGTGTAGCATAAATAATTTTCATGAAGTGAGTTTAAGATGGATCTTTGTAAAATTTGACAGGCAAATGTGAAATCATCTCTCCTCTCTGCACATAATTTCAGTTCAATTTTCCGACCACTATTTAACTAATGACATCAAAATTTATCAACTTACGTATGGTTCCACTATGCACAATCCCATAGGCCGCCATGTTAAAGGAGTGTACAGGCTCTGTACATAACTTGTTGCCATTCGATAAATAAGCAACGGAAAATTAAACAGAAATTATGTGATTGTAGGTAAGATGATTCCTCACAATTGTGCAAAATTTGACTTGGATCTTACGAAACTTAAATTCATAAAAATTATTTATGCTACACTAAATTAACATATAAGTCTATGGAAATTACGTCAAGTGTCGAATACTTTTTGCACGACTCTGTACGTTCCTTCCTTCCTTCCTTCCAAACATCACTAGCTCCCAATATACGAGCTATATATATGACGGCGGGCTGTAAATAAAGTACAGACCAGACAAACCAGTGATTGACATGTTCAGCAACGTCTAACATATATTTTTAGAATTTACTGCTAAAACCTGCATGGCCGTCTTAGATTTTTGAAAAATACCTTTGTATACCTCTTAAGCTTTTTTAACTATGCTTACCACATTACTAATGTCCTGGTCGGATGTCTCGAAGTTCGGATAACTCGATATGGTCCCATGAATATCGAGACAACGGTGCTGGACTGTATATATATGTTTATTGTATATTTTATGTGTATCATTTTACCTTTTATAGTCTCTCATAATCCCATTTATAGGTGATGGCTCATCGTATGTATTTTATCATGTGACTTGTATATTTTTATTTGTATGCGTTGAGACTTCAATAAAATATCTGTCTGTCTGCCGTTGAACATAGACACAGATGTTTGAGCAGATCAACACCAGCCCCTCTGACCCCCTCTCCTAAGCCTGATCTGTTTAGTCACACTTACGATCAACATATCCTATTGGCTGGGGACGATTCAACCCCAGATTGCCCACGTGACACGAGTTTCTGACATTTGACGAAAGTACACTTGACATTATTTGAAACTAAATGAAATAGAACTTTATTTGTAGAGGAAAACCCTGATGAATGAATGAAACGACTCCACAAATATATAGTTGATTCTGTTTTAATAAACGAAGGATTGATTGCAAGATTATAATGATAGAATGATTAAGTATAGGTAAACAAGACGGAATGAACGCAGGATTTAAAGAAAAAGAAGAAGAAATGTTTAATTGTGTGTCACACCAAACAACTCGACAAGTACATACAATCTTAAGCATGATACAATTACGAGTGTTGGTCCAGCCTGTGAATGGCTTATGAGACACATGTATACATATTAAACAATCCATAGATTAAAATATAGATTTGGTTATAAAATTGTACAATAAAATTACGTACATAAAAGCAATGCGAAAACGGATAGGTTTCGTTTATAAAGTAATATCGCCAGTGTGTGGGGGGAGAGAGAGAGAATATACGAAAATGACGTCAAACGGATCAACGCACAGGAGAGAAGCATACGTACAATCCCCATGAAAGAGCCCTTTACAATAGGCGAGAAACAGTCGGCAATGCAATGTGACCTGCGTTCTGAAAATGCCGTACACCGTTTTTTAGCGCATTCTTGTTGAACAACATTTAGTAATAAATCATAAATGAAATGAGTGTTATCATATTACAGTATACTAAGGTCGGACCATATATAACAATACATTAGGGTCGGTCTACCGGTATGTGGGTGCGGCGTTAGCAATAAGCCGACTTTTATACTGCGTCGGTCCACTTGTTACAGTATATTAAGGGGATGGTGTGGTAGCTTAATGGTTAAAGCGTCCGCTCGTCACGCTGAAGACCTGGGTTCGATTCCCCATATGGGTACAATGTGTAAAGATCATTTCTGGCTCTCGTTCCACAAAGCGATCGTAGCGCTAAGATGATCTTAACTCCCATGCTTTAACATAGACTTACAGCTGTCGTAGCGCTACGATCACTTTGAGGAACGGGGCCCTGGTGTCTCCGACCGTGATATTGCTTGAATATTGCTAAAAGCGGCGTAAAACCATACTCACTTTCTACAGTTTATTGGGGTCTGTCTTCATTTTCGTTGCAGTGATGATCGAGTGATTTCTATGGGGCACAATAACGCCTCGGGGGTATGCTGACGGTTCGACATATACCTGTTATACAAGTGCGGCCAACACGACCACCCTAGATAATTAATTAAGTGTTCAATACATACCTGTATTCTGTTATGATAAAAGATGCCTAGGTACGTCTATGTCAGACATTTCATTTCAAGATTAAAAATGTCAAAGTGATGGCCAACTAATACATACACGCACGCACGCACATGCACGCACATGCGCACACACACACACATACACACACTCTCTCTATGAAAATCCACCACATGATTTGTATTTGGTGTGGGGCTAGGGTATTTTCTGCACGTGAAGTAAGTCCTCAAGAAGAAATAACTCATTAGAGTGAATGTCATAGGTGAGAGAGTTAAAATTGAACGTCGTACTCAGCAATGTTTTCATACATCAATGAAGACTAGTGAGTGAGTGAGCAAGTGAGCGAGTTAAAATTTAACGTCGCGTCGGTATTGTTTCAGCCATATAGCGAGAGTGTGTGAGTGAGTGAGTGTGGTTTTACGCCTCTTTTAGCAAATTCCAGCAATATCACAGCAGGGGACACCAGAAATGGACTTCACACATTATACCCATGTGGGGAATCGAACCCGGGCCTTCGGCGTGACGAGCAGTCGCTTTAACCACTAGGCTACCCCACATATACACAATTAAATCTATAATTACACAGATTTACATTAAAAAACAAGTTTTCATGTACACATTTCAAAATCACAATATTATCTATTTATAATTTACACGACTGGAATGAATGTTATAAATGCACGTACATAACAACTTATATTATATAGTGTTGACATTTAATACATGCATATTGTGCTCGCGCTGGTATTAACCCGAGGGTGCGGTCTTTAATAATAATGACCCAACAGATTGTATATATTATTATCGTCTTCGGTCATGTTAAAAGCTGCATAGTAATTGTTCAGCGATTCGCGACGACATACATACATCCTGTTACTTTCTATACAAAGAATTTGTAATATGTGTTTTTGTATTTGTCTTTTAAATACAAATATTACACTATACTGTGTAGTTGTGTTCAGGTTACCGAAACTAAAAACAAAGAATTGTTTATTTGTGATGGCGAGGTGTTGAACAACAAAAACACTTAAGACCCATTAAACACCTGCAGTTAATTAATTTTAACAAAGAGTAATGGTGCGTTGGTTAACTACAAAAGCACAAAACCTAATAAATATGAAAGACAATGAATTTTGACCCAGATTAAGCACAAGTGGTTTTACTTGTAAATAATAATATTGATGTAAAGATTTTAACCTGACATATATCCGTCTCGCATACATGTACTAAGTAAGTCTTGTAAATAGATTTGGCGATATCAGTTGTTAATTGACAAAGATGGCCTTTACAAACTGAATAGATTAAATAACTTCTTCCTAGAATCACGGTATTCCTAGTTTCCATGAAAGTGGGGGTTTTGTCGTGAATTTCAAATATGTTGTTTATTTTGACTATCCAACCACAAATATCTTTCATAATAATATAGGGGAATCCAATACTTTCACATAGCGCTAGCAAAGTGTGGGAATATCAACAGTGGTTAGAGACAACAGTTGATTTATTGTTGTTGGATAACGATATCTAATGTCACGTCACATTAATATCAGCCGCATATTTGTGTGACGGTGAGACATCGACTTCTTTTTGTAAGAGAGCTCTCGAGGGCGAAGTGCTTGCGGGTCTGGCATTCCCAAGGTGAAGGTTGAACAGATCACGTGACAACGCCATCTTGTTGGTTAGGTTATTTCCGGCAAAATAATACATCTGAAAAATCCGCTATCATCGGGGTTGTTAACAGAAATCCATCCATTTTGGCTGGAGATTTTGGTCCACTGATATCTACCATCCAAAATGTGGAAGATTCGTGAAATAACAGACAAGGTGTAAGTATACATCGTATTATTTTTCCTTGAGGTGTTGATGGTTGTCAACCGGTATCCCAAATTTGTATCATGGCGTTGATGACCTCATATGGGGGTCCACGTAGCATATGTGAGACCGACGTGGCACCCTTGTCAGCAAAATACACATTTGCAATAAAATGGTCTCCTTTTATCTCGTCTTTATCATAAATCGCTGCTAAATAATCGTATGTCTGATCGAACGTCAAATCAATTATTTGACAGTTTTTAGAGAGGGGAGGGGCACTTTAGGTAAAACCGAGCATCTGTCAAACCGACCCGTATCAATTGTCACATTTTTGGCAAGGGGCTGTGTCTGTGATCCTCTCGTTATTCCTCGAAACTTATTCTTAATTTTTAAGATGCAGATCAAGCAGCTTGTGCACCTAGACCATTTGTAAACATTTCAGCATCATGTCGTTGAGAGCCATTTGGTTGACAAGCTGTTTCCAATGCACTGTTTCGATTCATGTACCACGAGTCTTTATATTTACGTGTGTCATAACATACACAGTAAGCTGAACATCAAAATTGGGTTGTGTTCATGATCCACAAGTTGTACATATAAATGTTTGGAGTTTCAACAAAGGTTTTGTTGTTATTGCCAAATTCTGAAAATCAAACGATATACGTATAATCTGATTGTCTTATTGTAACTAACCCAATAAGAATTATCATCTTCTGAACAGATGATATCCTTTCTATGACCATTGTAAATATTGTCAGTGACACATATATATATAAATAACCATTATCTCAGACTCATGGCTGATATTTAGACCTACAAACCTATATGTTTGTTTATCAAATCTACTGTTGCTGTTGATATTTAGCATTACTATTCTTACTGAAAGGAGTAGACAGAGTTTGTAAAGTAGACAAATTATGCTATTCTTTAATGTTTTTGAAAACGTTTTCATGATAGTAAACAAGCAAAGACTAGAATTCCTGAAACATATTTCCATGATAAGAAGCTATATGATTGAGGCTTTTCATGGAATGTGTGTTATATGTATAGTGTAGCATTAACATGATTACATTACTATAGAGGGATCCTTTATTTGATATTGCTTGTGATATCATATGTACAATTATTCCATATATAAAGGCAACTGGAGTGTCTATTAGACCATCAGCATAGGGCACTACATTGTGGTAGTGAATCCACAATGATCTGACAAAGTTTTGGTAACCTCTTGAGAGTGTTACCAGCCTCGACATAGTTCTTAGCATCATTTTCCAATAGATTTTAGTTTTATTATAGGAAAGCGTTTCCTATTCTCGCGGTACTTATGGATATCGGCTGAAAAAATAACACAAACAATTCTTATCGTATTCATGCTTGTTGTTTTTAAATGAAGGGCTTTCTCCTCTAAAATCTACATCTATCAGCTGCCAGATCCATCAGGTGAATTACTACTCGTGAGCCCTGTGATAAACAATGCCATCCGCCATTGACGAAACGAGGCTTCTCCCATTCTTGCGGTATAACCAGGAATTAGCGTTATTGAGTGTATGTAAGAGCAATCCTGACGGAAAAGGCGGGAAAAAGTAATGATATGTCCAAGTTGGTATAAACTCCCCAATATTCGTGACACTGCAAGATTTTGATCACTCACAGACTTGGGCCACTTCCTATAGTTACCAGTCGGTGATGTAAACAACCGGTAAGTGTCGCACATCGGCGATTTCGGCAGAAAACGTGTTTACCGTGAGAATAGGAAACCCGCGAGAATAGGAGACGGACCGATATATGACTGTTTAGAAAATTAGTTTCAAATTGATCTTCAAATTGGACATTAAAAAATGTCATTTTGCATGAATGCAATCAAAATATTACCTAAGTTTGCTTTGATTTTAAACTATATTTGTCGATACCCAAGTCAGTATGTTTATGGTTTTATGACTTATGAGAATCTGTCGACTTTTTGAATATTTTCAACACAGACTGCATCAGATATGAAGGATTTCTACATCAGGGCAATCTCTGGTGTCAAAAGCCACTGCCTGGATTGTCTACATCAAGACACAACAGTTGACCACCTAATAAACCTGTAGCATAGTGGAAAGGCACAAATTGAAAATGGTAGTGTGAGCGTGTTTGCCTGACGATAAGGTGTATTGAAGGATAGTAGAAGTTCAGGTGTTTTAGGGTATGACCCTCTGTGTTACGGGCTGTTTGGTGGTTTTAAAGGTCAACATGTATGTGCCTACAAAGTATTGTGATGCATAAGCTGTTTATGAGGACAGGGTTCAAATTTGTCAAGTGGAGCCCTTGAGTTTTCTACAGTAGAATATTAATGTTGAGATTCCCGCAGTCTCATTATTTAAGTGTCAGGGCTATGACTTGCTAAATTGTTGAGAATTAAAATTTTGAAGTTGATTTTGAATAATTGTGACAGTGCCTGTACTATAGGATGGTCCTTGTTACCTGCTCAATAGATATCAGTGATGGAAAGGGATACAGCTTTAACTTAAATAAATAAACAAATACAGAGCTCCAGATAAGATTTAGCTCATGTGGGTACTGTACCCACTGTATTTTTTTGGAGTGGGTATTATCAATGTTGAGTGGGTATTTCATTTTCCGGTTACCCACTGCTTTCAAATATGTGCGTATTTTAGTCATTTTACTCACCTAAGTATATGTCATTGAGTAAGTTTACTAAGCAGGTATGTTCTGCCTTATGTCATACCTAATCAAAACCAACTTTAATATAATGGAAATGATTTCATAAAAAAATCCCTCATCCTATACTGACAGTACAACACTTGTCCTATACTAACAGTACAACTTGATAGCAATCAATGTCTTTTTCATTACGCAAGTGATTTTTATAAATATATTCCGTACGCATTTGTTTTAAACTTTTTGCGTATCTAACATTTTAAATGCGTAATTGGTACGCAACAATTATTTTTTCAATGCGTAATTGGAAATTTTCTATGTGTATTTTACCCAGATACGCAGCTTATCTGGGCCTCTGGATATATACAATAACCATGGAAAGGGATATAACTGTAACAGAAACATTCCCTCTCCCATAGTGACAACACATAAGGACAGAAGGTCACCCAGTAAGAGATCTAAACTTCTTCTACCCCTTGGGGTATCTGTAACATAAGTCACACCGACACTAGCTAGCAGGTAGCGATGACATCCTTTCACCAACTTTTTTCATACAGTGATCATTTGAACCTTTCTTATTGTTATCAGTGAATGTAGTATGTAATTCGTCCTCGCCTCAGTAGTAAGGCTTGTTTGCGGGATGGAGGATCTCCAATCTCGCCATACTGAAGCCTCAGGCTTATTGTTACACTGATATAAATGTGGCCCTGTGGGCTGTTACATATGTTTGCATCACATGTTTAATGGTAGTGGGCAGGACAGCAGATCTGATGCTGATATTACTCACTGTCCTTGGTGACCTACTTGTTATGACATTCATCACTCGTCATGACTACCTGTGTTTGGAGAATCTCAAAATGAGAATTACTAGAACAGTTTGGAACCTTTTCAGCAAATATGCTGGTCCTCCAGACAAGTGACACAAAATGTACCAGAATTTACTGACAATGTTTTGTCGTTTGCTTAGTGCCCCTCGATGCAGTATTCCAGCTATTTTATGGCTGTCTATAAGGAAGCTGTGGCCAGGGATTTACCTAGAGTCCTGTATTTGAGGGTCCTTTGGACTCATACTCTTAATATAGGGGTCCTGGACTACAAAATGGAGATCCCAGACACTTGAATATTATTATTAATACTATGTTGTAATATTGTAATTCAGTTACTGTTATTGTATTCTGTATCATGATCATTATATTGTTACAGCAATTAAATTGCAAATGATACCATAACCCGGCTAGTAGCAGATTCAGTGATAACTTATTGTTACTTGATTAAAATTTTTACAAAAAGAATTTGGACCTTTTCTGCGTTCCTGTTGCCTTGCTAATCAATTTTGTTGTGTCCGTTGCCAATTGTTTTTGCGTATAGGATGCAGGAATTCGCATCCTGTAAATTCCCTGTCTGGAAAGGCAATGATTGATATTGTGTGGAATAAAACACAATACAAATGAATAGTAAAGCACAGGGAAGAACAAGGCATGTTTTTTGTCAACATTGTTCTGTCGTCATGAGGATATCCTTCCTGTAGATTCTAACAATACGCTAACAACTTCATACTGTTGTAAACTGGACATTATTTAGTAGACGGTTGTAGGCTGTTCACTATGACTGTAGCAGAGAAATGTAGATTAACACAATGTCCAAACAGTCATATCCAAAAGTGAACAAGTTAGGGCTATATGTATTGGGAGAGATAAATGCCATGAGATGTGTGAATATGTTTAGAAAATGGGTGAGTGAGTATGGTTTTTACCCCGTTTTTAGCAATATTTCAGCAATATCACGGCTGGGGACACCACAAATAGGCTTCACACATTGTGTCCATGTGGGGAATCGAACCCGGGTCTTCGGCGTGACGAGCGAACGCTTTAACCACTAGGCTACCCCACTGCCCCTTAGAAAATGGGAGAAATATACAGGAGTCATCATTATCTATATATGAGTAAATATTTTATAGCTTGTAAATTTTATTACCTTCCTTAGCGAGGTTGTAAATATTGTTGATATCACTCACAAGAATTAGACAACTCATGGTTGAAAGAGTGCACATAGAAGTGACGGCTTGCATATGTGCCCCTCATGGTTTTATTCTCCCTTTAGTGTTTTATGGTACGATACACAACTATCATTGGTGATGATAGATCAATCTTCAGTTCTTTAATCAAGCTAGTCTCTAAACCTGACATGATATATGTAATGAGCGAGTTTGGTTTTACATCACTTTTAAAATATTCCAGCAATATCACGGTGGGGTACACCAGAAATGGACTTCACACGCGTACCCATGTTGGGAATTGAACCTGGGTCCTTCAGGGGTGGAAATAACTTTAAAAATTGCTAGTGTACACCGGTACAGTGGCACATGTAAAATCACTTGCCCTGATAATTTTTCCACTATACCGGCCATTTTCTTGTTGATTTTTTAAATAAACAACATAATTAATGTGTAATATATAAATGACAAATTTTATCATCTTTATGACTTTTTAACGGACATGTTCTTGTTTTTTATAGACTTATGCTTAGTCTCTGAATAAATATTTTTTTAATTGTAACACATAATTCCCTTTCAATTTAAAAGGTGCCACAGTGAGATGGGAGATTTAGAACCTGACGCTGAGGAAACGATTGACTTGCTTCATTAAGGGCTTTAGCATTGCATCAAGGGTTGGACAGAAGGGATTGTAAGACAGACTGTGGTTTTTACCAATTCCCAGAAAATCATGACCATATTTTGGGATGAAAAACTGATGACAAAACACCCAATATTTTTAGCCAAACATCAACAAGAAAATGATTAGCTCTTATTCATGCACATTACATGGTTTACAAGTGATCAGAGCTTATCACAAAGCCTGTTTCACATGATTACTTTAGCACATATTCCTGAAGCCTTGCTGAAACTGAGCTTCTAACAGCAAATAAAAGCCAGGCTATTACAGTGAGTGAGTGAGTGAGTTTAGTTTTACGCCGCACTCAGCAATATTCCAGCTATATGGTGGCGGTCTGTAAATAATCGAGTCTGGACCAGACAATCCAGTGATCAACATCATGAACATCGATCTGCTCAATTGGGAACCGATGACATGTGTCAGCGAGCCTGACCACCCGATCCCGTTAGTCACCTTTTAGTCTTACGACAAGCTAGTCGCCTTTTATGGCAAGCATGGGTTGCTGAAGACCTGTTCTACCCCAGATCCAGGCTATTACAATTCACTTGAGTATTCGGTGAAAAAAATATGTACCTTCATGACTTCAATTTGCTTTTCGTGATCACAATGATCAGACATTGATGAATGCAAAATGGAGTATGTCCAAGCCAGGCAGGATAAGAGTCCACACTGTTACATATTTAATTTGACAGCACTGCTCACTGGTCAAAATGTGTCCAGAATTTATGTTGTTATTGTTTCATTTAATACAATATATGATAGATCTACTGCTGCCTTGTTATTGTAATTATTACCAAATATTCATAAACGTTGCCCAATATTTGTGACATGTATCATATTTGCCTTATAGTGTATTCATTGAAGCAGTACTGCACAGCTCGTTTCAGTCTTTTGGATATACCTGGAAACTGATCACACTGATGGATGTTGATGTGAAAAGTTCATCCTTTGTGTGTATACGATAGTGTTGGGAATTGGTTAAAATCTCATAATTGATGATTGATTCATTACAACCGATCAATCATCGAAAATAATTGGTTAGCATCATTTATGAATTTGTCCTGGTTGTTTTTGTTAATGCACAAAAACAAAGAAAAAACATGAATTTCTTTGGGGGTTTTTGGGCAAATTTCACATCTTGAAAGGATAACTAGTATGGGGTCTTTAAGATATATTCAATCATGACTTGGAACGAGCTTGTAGTACTCATGAAATGTAACTGATAAAACCAACCGTGTGAAAAATATTGTTAATGCAAAAAGTGTTCCAGAATTGTTTGTGTTCGATTATGAGAAAACATGATCGATTGCTTGGTCGTTTTGTCACTGCGACCAATCTGTATTATTTCAATTAATCGGACCACCACTAGTGTATGATGTGAGGATCATTCATATGTAAACCAAGCACGTTACTGCCACATGACCTGTCAAAATAAGGCTGTCTAGAAAGGTCAATAATCAGATACAGGTTGTATGTCAAATATTTTATTGTGAAACCTTGCATTTGTATCACACCCAAGCTGGTGCAGAGCCCTTTATTTTGATATTTTAAAAACAGTTTATTTTTTGTGTTTCTTTGGTAGAAGTTAATTTCTACCAAGGGACAAGTCTTCTCAGAAAAAAACTAATAAAATAACAGTAAAGACACTTCGCAAGTTTTAAGATTTTGTGCATCCTGTGTTTAATCCGGATAGGTTTCCAGAGATTACATGAAAGGTAAACATGCATGCATGAAATATGTGTCAAGATGAGCTAAAAAAATTGTTGGTGTGAAAAATATTGTTCCATTGTTACAGCCCTAGATCCATGTTATTTCACTAAGTGCATAGTGACTGCAATATGGACAGGTTTTGTCAGAAACTATTTAATTTACTTAAATGAAACTTTGCATGTTTATCTTAGAGATTTTACCATGACCTAAGGCTACTCTTATGTCCTTGTCTTCTTAAGGCTTCTTACACTTTACCACTGTAGACCGCCTCCGTGGTGTAGTGGTTAGAGCGTCCGCCCAGAAAGCGGAAGGTCGCGGGTTTGATCCCCGGTGGCGTCATACCAAAAGACGTTAAAATATGGTACTTGTTGGTCCCTGTCTGGCGCTCGGCATTAATGGGTACAACAAGGACTGGTCGGCTCGGAGTCAGTATACTGTGTCTGAGTGGGGTATTCATGCTTCACTGCGGCATGATATCTCAGTGGGCTAGTACTATAAAACCAGCTTCAGTCTGGGCTAGTACAAGCAGCCGCACATACACATACACACGCATGCACGTCGTCATATGAGCGAAATATTCTCAAGCACGACGTAAAACCCAATTTAACCTCACTTCACCTTTAAATGTACCACTGTATGAAAAAACAAATTTCTAATGTTTCCCATGGTGGCCCCGGAAAGTAATCACACTGTTTTCTTTGTGCCATAACAGTTTTTTACTGTGCCCGCAGGACTAAGGTACAGCTGCTTCTAGACTAATTTCGGCTGCAAGTCAGCAGCAAATGTCAGTGACAATTCTTCAACTGGAATTAGACATTTCACAAGTCAAGTTGTGTGAATAATGGGGTCATTTGTAGTTGTAGTTCACCAATAAATCCCAGGCCTCATCTAAGCATTTAGGACTTGCACTAGTGCAACCTGATACTGCAAAATACAACCTCTTATCAATACCAACTTACACCCAGTGCATGTAAATATTTTGCTGAATTTGTATTTCACTGCTAAAGGACTTTTACAGTGGAAAGGGCTGTAAGCATTGTTTTGCATTATTGCATTGAATGCAGTTTTGAGAATCGCTGTTTTAAGAATGTCCCAATTTTCTACTAAATGTTTGGGTGTGTGTGTGGTGGTGGAGGAATTGACTTTAGTGTAATTTGCCTTCCAAAGGCACTTGGTTGGGAATCCTTCCCAGGACTCGATTTAAGCATTCAGAACTTGCACTGGTGCAACCTGATACTGCAAAATGTAACCTCATATCTGTGCATGTTAATATTTTTGCTTTTCACAAAACATATATAGACTTTAGCTGGAAAACAGATTGATGAGGATCTGGCTTGGAGCAGTGTATGTTTGTTGTTTAATGCCTCGCTCAGCAATATTCCAGCTATATTGTGGCAGTCTGTATATAATCGAGTCTGGGACAGACAATCCAGTGATCAACAGCATCAGCATCAATCTACGCAATTTGGATACAATGATATGTGTCAACCAAGTCAGCAAGCCTGACCACTCGATCCCGTTAGTCACTCTGATTAATGAATGGACAACAATTGAATGACGTGAAATTTTAGTAAGCAAGATAAAATGATCATATCAGACATATATTTTTGTTATAATGATTTTCCTAATCATCAGTAAAAAAAACCCAAGCATTTTATATAATTCTACATTGTGCAACCTTTTTGTCTGGTGACATGAGGTTATTACCTAAGGTTGCACCATGTGCAAGTAGATTCTATTTGGTTAAAACGAGCCATGCTAGATAAATCCCTGCTGGATTTAATATTTTGCTAAAACACTCTCGTGTGAACACAGCATGAGCTCAATGTGTAATTTGGACTATTGACATACTCATCAATTCCAAGTTCAGGTTAAGTAAAAGGTGTTCAATCTTCAGTACAATTTTCGGTTTTAATCAGATTTGATGTATTTGTGACCCAAGGAAGAATTGTCTTAACGCTGCCTTTGTTTTTCAGCACCAATGTGGTGATGAACTACAGCGAAGTGGAGGCCAAGGTTCGCGAAGCAACCAATGATGATGCATGGGGTCCCCACGGCTCTTTGATGAACGAGGTCGCTCAGTACACATTCACATACGAGCATTTCCCGGAAGTGATGGGGATGCTGTGGAAAAGAATGTTGCATGACAACAAGAAGAACTGGCGCCGCGTCTATAAGGTGGGTGACTGCAGTCCGAAGAAAATATTGGTTGTCAACTTCACGAATTTGATTATCTTCAAAGCTAGGCAAAAGGTCTTGTGGAGACTCTATTTTGCTGGTTCTCAAAGTTTGTAGCTGGTCCTACTTCACCATGTTTTCTGTGTTTAAATATTTATCAGTTTTATTCAATTTCAATTTGCTGCAAAATTCAGAATTAAAACCCCCAAATGCTACAAGTCAATGAGATAAGGTGGCGATGGCGTAGCCTAGTGGTGAAGGCGTTCGCTCATCACACTGAAGACCCGGGTTCGATTCCCCACATGGGTACAATGTGTGAAGCCCATTTCTGGTGTTCCCCTGCAATGACATTGCTGGAATATTGCTAAAAGCGGCGTAAAACCATACTCACTCGCTACAAGTCAATGAGGACTTTCTATGCTGCTGCCTATATTTACACATATAAAGGGACATTATATTATCGAGATTACCAGTCCAGGGGCACATTCAATACATATAAACATTGGACCAAGAGTAGTGAAGTCCATAAAGCAAATTTTCAGTAGCTTGACTGAATAATTATTTTTGCATTTCTCAATAGCCCCTGACAATGTACCTGGCAACCAATTAATGTTTGTATTGGCAGACAGAATGCTACGAGGTGGAATAGTATGTTTCCTATATACATAATTTTTTAAGAATACGCAAAAATTAGACCAAGTTGAACTCTTCCCTGACAGATTTTATTGTTGCTTTCCGACAAGAAATTCAGAAAGCGCCTTGAACTGCACCTTTTTGCACTCATTCAAGGAGACAGACAATCCAGACAAATTTGACATGTATCACTGCTTTTGAGTGGTATGCATTACCTTATGCCACAAATATGATGTGAAGAAGTGGTGTATGTGTCACTGGGAAGGGAATGGTGGCCCAGATATCTCAGACATGGCAGTCCCCCCCCTTGGGCAGGCCAGAAACATCTGAATGTGTGTTCAAGTCCCAGTTCACTTGATTGTGTTTCTTGGTTTTGTCGGGGTGGTGGGGTAGCCTAGTGGTTAAAGCGTTCACTCATCACGTTGAAGACCTTGATTCAACACATCGGCCACAAGTGTGAAGCCCATTGCTGGTGTCCCCCTGCCGTGATATTGCTGGAATATTGCTAAAACGGCATTAAAATACACTCACTCACTCACTCAGCACCAAAGTGATATATGTACTGGACAGCAACAGGGTTTTACCTCGACCCACAAAAATGGGGGTCCCAGTGACCCCTTTTTATTAGTTTTAAGGGTCCTCACAGGTAATACAAGAGTCCTGTGAAGTAACATTGAGGGGAACTGTCGTCAGGGTCTGGAATGAATCAGATCCGGGCCTATGGGTGACACGATGCACGGAACTTCTCAAACACTTAGCAAAGTCCTAGATGTGTTGTGGGTACAGGGAATAATATTGTACATCCCTCTGGATGCAGTGAGGTATTTTTCTCCGTCCATCTCAGCAATTGTGCGTACTGGACGCACATTTGCACGTAGCATCCATCACTTTGGGATTTCCTATCCCATAGATAACTGCCATGATAGCCAGTTATAACTAGAATAGTGTTGAAAGCTGTGTTATAACCAACTCACTTATTGTTGCTCCTGGTTCGTCTCAATGAAGATAAAACATGTTCACAAAACTCCTACTTTCATCATATCTCTTCCAACAATTAGGACTGTCTATTAGTGTAGAGCATAGAAATCAATAATCAATTAGCAATAAATATTGGAGAAGTAATTGAACAAAATCTGAAAAAAAAGAATCTGAAAGAAATCGTCCTTCCCTTCATTGGTAAAAGGTGACATATTTAGGCTTGGATGACCTACAGATCACCGTCCTGAACAAAATTCAGAAGCAGCCTATGAATAAAGACCTAACTTGGGTATTGTGTGAGTAAATTATAACTATATTTCTTCACAATAGTATCTGTGCAATATCAGTTATGACAGTTTTCATATCAGTGATCATTAACATTTTTTCCTATCAACTGTATTTTAGATTATTAATTTTTAGCCACCTCTAGCTATAACTAGGTTTTACTGAACACAAAATACTTTTGTCATTTCCGTTCATGTTAGGAATGGATGCAAATAGTATACTAGGGAAACCGTGTATGATGCAGAAATTTATAATTGTTGATTGTGCACCATTCTTATAATATCCCTGTTCTGATAATGTAGCCCCTGACCTCCCCAGGACGCTGTCCTCGCATTGAGTCTCAATATAGGCCGTTATCACCGTCACCAGGAAATACGGAAGGCCTTATGTGACCCAGATGTGCCTTTGTTTACTAAACAATTGGTGAAAAGGTCCAGTAGTAACAGTTGTAACAATGTGAAAAGAACTGATAGTCCTAAAACATGCTTAATTTATAAGGGATTGAACCTGAAACGTTTAACCAGCTCACTGACATTGTTCATTTTGTGAGTTTATCAGAGATTATCTGGGTAGATAATCAGTTGTTCTATGTTGGAATGGAAAATGAAAACAGAAACAAAATGCAATTGTTGCCTCGGAATGCATTCTTGTTGTCATGGTGACGAGGAATATATGACAAAGTAATATTTTTTAAAAGAAAGTTGTATTTCTGATGCATATGTCCCCTGTATTATAAATATATACCCTCCATGTTCAACTAAATTTTACTTAGGCCAGACCAATCTTACTTCTTGTTTTACGGATTTTTATCCTCAGAAAACCTAAAGGCAGAAGAAAAATAAAAATAAAATCACCAGTCAAAGTAACATTCCTTCTAAACACTCAAAGTATGCTACTTTTCTCAATTTATGAAGTGTATATGGGGCAAAAAAACAACCTAAAAACAAAATTTCTTGCATGTTTACTATTTTGGCCAATAAGACATTAGGATATTATTTTTTGAGCGGGGAAAATTAATTTAGTTTTTTTTTTGTATTCTTGAAAAAATATGACAGACGGATCCGTAAAACAAGAACTAAAATTGGTCTGGCCTTATGAAAAAATGCTGAATGAACACTTTTTAATACAGAGATATTGTATATTTTTCCTTATCCTGACTCATGCTCTTTTGCTTGTCTTCTTCCTCTTGCGAACATAGTGGAACACTTGTATCTCCTTAATTGAAGCTCCCTTCAATGTAAAATCACTAATTGGTACTCACCAAGAGTTGCCTCCCTTTGCCGTTTGCGCGGGAACAGGTGTCGCCACCCTCTGGCCTCATGCTTCACTCTCTCCTTCTTCGCCCAGTGAGCAGGATGTGAGAGCGCCTGTGTCTCCTTACACACTATATCCTTTGGTTTTTCTTAGTTAGTTACCTCTTATAGTTTACTATAAAGGTATAGCTAGTATCCTTCATTAATTTGTATTGATAATTAATCGTATTTCTACTGTTTATTCACGTGTTCAGCTAGTATTACGTTGATGAAAATCTGTACTATTTGTAGATTACGTTTTTCTGCTGCTGATCCGCATGTAGTATGCCCTAGTTGTTCTACGCCTTGTGCGTTTGATTCACATTGCAGTTACTGCATTAATTTAACTAATTCTGCTTTTAATAAATACCATCTTTGCGTCTTGAGACGTGCTGCAGATAGGTCACGAACCCTGAACCCAGATCGTCATCATCTAGAAAGACATCGAGGGACTACACAAGAGCTTCGCGAAGCTATCAACGTTCTCCTCACAGGTCTCCCGAGAAGGTCAACCCATAAACGTAGATCACCAAGACGATCTCCTCGCCGTTCACCACGCCGATCTCCGCGTACATCACCACGTCGATCACCACACAGGTCTGCACACAAGTCTACAACCAGGTCCCAACAAGCGTCACCCGACATAGAGATAGAACCACACAGTCCACCATCAGAAGAGCACCAACCTCTCATCAATGATGCTGGAATAGAAGATGATGGAGGAATTATCTTCTCAGATGCAGAGATACGATATTGGATGGTAAACAACCTAGATCTCTCATCACCTTCCAAGAGTGGCAATCTGGCGCAGACATACCTGATGAAAGAAGACGATGCAGATGCTGTCACACTACCTCCGATCGACCCGATTGCTGCGGTACCACAGAATCTAGACACAGCATTCAATAAAGCCACGAAAGTTCAGACACCACATCTGCCAAACTTTCACGCCAAGAAGTTCTCCACGCATAACATGGACCCCTTCTTCAAGGCTCAAGACATCGATGAAAACTACAAGCTGATCAGCGATGTCAAGAATAAGAACTACAAGATTGACGATCGCAAACTGGTTCAGATAGAAACCATGACGAGGCGTATGTTCTTTGGTCTAAATAGATCTAGAGCGATCAATGAGACACTTATCACCAGATTTAAGTAACACGACCTCTGAAGATGATAGAATGATTTACTTTCGGCCCTACTTATGCAAAGAAGGACCAGCAGTTCCTAACGGATCATCTCACATCTGTCTCAGCAGCACTGACCTTAGCTCGTCGTCAAGGCCTCCTCGCTTCCTGCAGCTGGGGTGAGAACTTTACAGCTCCACTATATACAGCCCGTGGTCTTCCCCATCCATCTTTGACGGAGGAATAGACAAAGTCTCCAAGGAAGTCACTAAGGATTCCAGAGAAGTCCTTATGATTAAATCGATGGACACACTAGCCAGCGTCATCCGACAGACTTCACAAAGATACTCAGGGAGATCTAAATTCACTGGTCTACAGAGAGCACGAGACAGGAAGATAGCCAGCTCCAGGGGAAAAGATTCTTTTCGTCGCCCATATGGCAACTATAGAGGAGGGTCAGGAAGAGGCAGGACACCCAGAGGTTCCCGCAACTATAAACGCTGAAAGACAGGTTCGGAACGACTGGAGTCTTCCACCCCCAGCCGTTCCAGTACAACCGTCACAAGTGGGTGGACGCCTTCAACTACACTGGGAAAACTGGGGAATGTTACAAGACCCTTATGTCTCCAACATTCTTCAACACGGATTTCGTATCCCACTACAGGCCAAGCCTCCGCTGACAGTCAACCCTCACAAGTTCGACTTACAGGCACAACAACTACCAAAGTTAAGAGAGGCTGTTACATCACTCCTAACCAAGCAGGCCATAGAAGTAATAGATCAAGGAAACATCGAACCAGGTTTCTACTCCCCAGTTTTCCTAGTACCCAAGAAATACAGACTCATTTACAACATGAGCTTCTTCAACAAGAATTATCTACGCAAACCACCGAAGTTTCGCATGATACATCTACCTCAGTTACGGCAGTTGATTCGCCCTATGGACTACATGGGCAGTATAGATCTACAGGATGCATATCTGCACATCCCAATACATCCCGAATCCAGGAAATACCTACGGTTTACACTAGACGGGCTACATTACCAGTGGAAAGTACTCCCATTCGGAATATCATCAGCCCCCTGGCTATTCACGAGGATAACGAAACCGATTATCACCTATCTACATCGTCAAGGGCTACGCAGTGCATTTTACCTCGACGACGGGATACAAGTAGATCAAGATCCACAGCGTCTCAAACTACAGTTAAACTACATCATAAAGCTACTAACACAGCTAGGATGGTTAGTAAACTTACTCAAGTCGGACCTAGTACCATCGCAAGATCTGCAGTTCCTAGGCATTCGATTTATCACGAATCTCAACCGTATCGTCGTACCAGAAGACCGTTGGCTCAAGATCCAACAGACCATTCCACCAGCTCTACTCTCTCCGCTACCACTTCGACAATGGCAGAGCCTGTTAGGTCTTCTCACATCAGCCCAAGACATGACAGTCAGAGGCAGATTACAGTTACGTCCCTTACAGGTCTTCATCAACGCACATCTCGACGACCTACAACCATTCAGTCTACCGAAACATCTCAGACCTCATCTACTATGGTGGACCAAGGAATCGAATGTCTGCGAAGGGATTTGTTTAGCAGAGCAGGAATTCAAAACCCATCTATATGTAGACGCGTCGCTCCAAGGTTGGGGAGCTCATCTCGCCAACCGGACGACATCAGGGTTATGGAATCAGCAAGAAAGCAAGCTCCATATAAACATGTTAGAGATGAAAGCTGTAATCAACGCCATACTGCATTGGAGCACCATTCTACAAAATGCGCACCTAATGATTCATACCGACAACTCGACAGTGGCGTTCTATGTGAACAGACAAGGCTCAACGAGATCACTGAACCTTTTGACTTTAAGCTTTCAACTGTTCGATCTAATCCAAGATCTAAATCTACATGTCAGAGCATGCCACATTCCCGGAGCCAGGAATATACTAGCAGACGCACTCTCTCAGCCACATCTACCGTTGCCGACAGAATGGATGCTCAATACAGAAATCTTTGCACAGATAATCAAGCAAATAGGAGCGCCGCTAGTAGATCTATTCGCCACAAGATTCAACAATCAGCTACCGACATTCGTGTCACCAGTCCCAGACCCACAAGCATGGGCAACGGACGCTCTAAGCATATCCTGGGAAGGCCTCAATGCGTACGCGTTTCCGCCGCCAGCAATAATACCTCAAGTGTTACAGAAAATCAGACAAACACAGAGCCTACAACTCACTTTGGTCGCGCCCTACTGGCCGGCCAGAACGTGGTTTCCCATTCTAATACAAGAAATCGGTCAACCGGCACTAGAGCTACCCAAGAGCTCAAATCTATTAATACATCCACACACCAAACAGGTGCACAGAAACCCAGAAGTATTCAAACTTCACGTATGGACTGTATTAAAATGTGTTTAAACAAGAGAGGATATTCTACCAGGGCGGCAAAAGCGGTCACGCTTGCCTTACGATATTCTACACGTAACTAGTACGACGACAAGTGGCACAGTTTGAAAATTACGCAGCAAACAAGGGATTTACAGCGAGAGATGCTACTCATCCACAAGTGGCAGATTATTTGTGTTACCTACGCCAAAACAAACATTTAAAAGGCTCGACATTGTCAACATATCTTGCCGCGCTTAGTTCTGTGATTACTATGAGAACGGGTGTCAAATTGACTAAGACTCCAGAGTTACTGGCCTTACTACGTGCTTTCCGATTGGAGGACCAAAAGCGGAAGTTCCACGCCCCAGCTTGGGATCTGAATGTAGTGCTACAACACCTCACAAGTGAGGATTATGAACCGTTGGAATCGACAACCTTTGAATTTCTCTCACAGAAAACACTTTTCCTGTTATCTCTAGCCACGGCAGCCAGAATGTCAGAAATTCACGCTCTAGATTACGAGAGGATACAGTTTGATGACAATCAAAACACAGCACACCTGGGATTAAGATGGGATTTCATCGCCAAAAATCAACTACCAGGTCAACCAGACAGGTTATTTCACGTCCCTGCACTATCCTCGATTCTCGGATCTCAAGATACACTGGACTTATCGCTATGCCCAGTCCGAGCTCTCAAAATCTATTTACGACGTTCCAAAACAAGGCGAAGATTTCTCAAAGATTATTCATCCCCTTATCGGCAACAAATCAGACAGAAGTCTCTCGTACCACCATATCTATATGGATAAGGACTGTCATTCTACGCGCCTACAAGGCAGCAGGATTGGACCCTCCAACAGCATCAAATCCCCATGAGATCAGGGCATTGGCTTCCACTCTCGCCCTACACGGTAACTGTTCATTGAATACAATTATGGAAGGATGCTTCTGGAAATCTAACATGGTGTTTGCTAATCACTATCTGAGAGATATCACCACCGAGGACGTCTCTGGCATTCACCATTTCGGTCCTTTGGTCCTCGCTCAGCAGCTGACAGTCCCTCGTAGGCGTTAACATTTACTCCCACGAGATTATTATGTATTATTATACATACCTTATCTAGCTTATAACTCTACGGAGTTCTAGGGCTATGTATATACTTAGCTTAGGTTTACTCAGCCTTAAGCTCATACTGATGTTTATGTTCAGTTGTACAGCTTCTCTATCAGAGTCGCTTTTATATCTATTTATAATATCTTAGTATATCAGTATATTAGTATTGTAATACCCCAGTTATGCCAATATATAACCTATGGCTTATAATAGAGGAAATATCCTAAGTCAATACCTTTATGAAGTTCCCGTAGGGGTTATTACACTTATAGTTATATAAATCACTAATTATAAATCCAAAGTATTCTGTTTTTTCCCACCTCCGCTCCGGAGGATTCTACAAGCAAAAGAGCATGAGTCAGGATAAGGAAAAATATGTAATTTTTAGAGTAAAATTGATATTTTATACTTATCCTGACTCATGAGGTAAGCCCTCCCATCCTCCCCACATAACACTTTGGATTTCCCTGTAAATTCAAGTGTTGGGCTCGCAAAATCAGGAGAGAGTGAAGCATGAGGCCAGAGGGTGGCGACACCTGTTCAGCTAAGCGGCAAAGGGAGGCAACTCTTGGTGAGTACCAATTAGTGATTTTACATTGAAGGAGCTTCAATTAAGGAGATACAAGTGTTCCACTATGTTCGCAAGAGGAAGAAGACAAGCAAAAAGAGCAAAAGAGCATGAGTCAGGATAAGTATAAAATATCAATTTTACTCTAAAAATTACATTTAATGATGATCAGGGTCTGAATGGTGGGTAGTAGATTAAGACAAGCAGCTTACTAAATAGTGATTTACTTTCTATACCTAAAGCGTCCAGAATGAGCATATTCACAATTTTTTATATTAAAGTTCTATTTTCAGCATTTTGGGGTCAAGTTGTATTTTAGCATTTTTTTGTATTTTGACATTGCATTCCATGTACAATTAAGAATTCTATTTTATTGGGGAAGTAAGCAGTGAAATCAGGCCACTTCGACAGCACTAGAAATAAGTATCATAGCATGAACTTTGTCCTTTAAAGTTTTCCTGACATTTGCTGCATAACTTGGGCAGGGATCAGCCTCTGAGCTGACAGATGATTGTTTCTGAGATCAGTCTTAAGTTTCTAAAACTTAGTTCTGCCTCACAGTCTCCCGGCAATGCTTAAGACATAATTGAAGCAAGTCTAGATTTCCTCAGAATCTCCCTCCTCACTGGGGATCCCTTTCAATTTAAATGGGATTTTAATTTGTTACTTATATTATTATTGTAATACCCCAGTTATGCCAATATATAACCTATGGCTTTTAATAAAGGAAATATCCTAAGTCAATACCTTTATGAAGTTCCGTGAGGGGTTATTACACTTATAGTTATATAAATCACTAATTATAAATCCAAAAGTATTCTGTTTTCCCACCTCCGCTCCGAGGATTCTACAAGCAAAAGAGCATGAGTCAGGATAAGGCAAAAATATGTAATTTTAGAGTAAAATTTATATTTTATGCTTATCCTGACTCACTGAGGTAAGCTCCCTCCATCCTCCCACATAACACTTTGGATTTCCCTGTAAATTCAAGTGTTGGGCTCGCAAAATCAGGAGAGAGTGAAGCATGAGGCCAGAGGGTGGCAACACCTGTTCCCGCGCAAACGGCAAAGGGAGGCAACTCTTGGTGAGTACCAATTAGTGATTTTACATTGAAGGGAGCTTCAATTAAGGAGATACAAGTGTTCCACTATGTTCGCAAGAGGAAGAAGACAAGCAAAAGAGCATGAGTCAGGATAAGTATAAAATATCAATTTTACTCTAAAAATTACATAGTTGTAGATTTTCATAACTGTTAAATGTTAAAGGTTTAATGATAAATGAGAGTGTGATATATTTCTTACCTGTATGATAGTTGATAATAAGCTGAGACTTATGTTTGTATTATATTTTGTCATTGTGATATTCGTGATATAGCTTGTTTTCTCCCTGGTAGAATACTAGATGCAAATCAGCATTTGTAACCAATTGAATTCAGTGTATTACTCATACCGGAATGCAGCTGTGTTAACCTGGAATATTGAGGGTTATTTACCACTAGATCATGTGGGGTTAAATCTGGAGTTGACTCAAATTTGTGTTTGATACTTTCAGAGTTTGATTCTGTTAACGTACCTGGTGCGGAACGGCTCGGAACGTGTGGTAACCAGTTCCAGAGAACACATCTACGACCTGAGGGCACTGGAAAACTACACCTTCACGGATGAAAATGGCAAAGATCAGGGTCTGAATGGTGGGTAGTAGATTAAGACAAGCAGCTTACTAAATAGTGATTTACTTTCTATACCTAAGTGTCCAGAATGAGCATATTCACATTTTTTATATTAAAGTTCTATTTTCAGCATTTTGGGGTCAAGTTGTATTTTAGCATTTTTTTGTATTTTGACATTGCATTCCATGTACAATTAAGAATTCTATTTTATTGGGGAAGTAAGCAGTGAAATCAGGCCACTTCGACAGCACTAGAAATAAGTATCATAGCATGAACTTTGTCCTTTAAAGTTTTCCTGACATTTGCTGCATAACTTGGGCAGGGATCAGCCTCTGAGCTGACAGATGATTGTTTCTGAGATCAGTCTTAAGTTTCTAAAACTTAGTTCTGCCTCACAGTCTCCCGGCAATGCTTAAGACATAATTGAAGCAAGTCTAGATTTCCTCAGAATCTCCCTCCTCACTGGGGATCCCTTTCAATTTAAATGGGATTTTAATTTGTTACTATAAAAATTACGTATATTCAAAGACTAAGCATTAGTCTAATCTTTATCTTTGAGTGTTAAGTAATAGCTTCAAACTGTAGGACCTCCGATCCACAGAGTGGTTGGTTATAGTTGGTAAATCTGGATTTCGACCGCCTCCGTGGTGAAGTGGTTAGGGCATCCGCCCGGAGAGCGGAAAGTCGCGGGTTTGATCCCCGACTGCGTCATACCAATAGAGGTTAAAATATGGTACTTGTTGGTCCCTGCAAGGCGCTCGGCATTAATGGGTACAACAAGGACTGGTCGGCTCGGAGTCAGTATAGTGTGTCTGAGTGGGGTATTCATGCTTCACTGCGGCATGGTATCTCAGTGGGCTAGCACTATAAAACCAGCTTAAGTCTGGGCTAGTACAAGCAGCCGCACATATACACGCATGAACGTCGTCATATGAGCGAAATATTCTCAAGCACAACGTTAAACCCAATTTCACCTCTTTTCACCTCTAAATCTGGATTACTGATTGTAGTTAACAATTTGAAAGTTATATGAAACAGAAGTTTTGTTGTGTTTTGTCAGTGCGCCATAAGTGCAAGGACCTGTTGGGCTTCATCCAGGACGATGACAAGATCAGAGACGAGAGGAAGAAAGCCAAGAAGACGAAGGACAAGTTTGTTGGTGTGTCAGGAGAAGCTACAGGTTATAACTCCTACAGTAAGTGTTGTAATGTGAGCCTAGGTTGTAGTCAGCATGGCTTAGCATGATTCTCCTTCCGAAGCACCTACTTCGGTACAAATCAAGGGTTACTTGACTGGGACTGCTTGGAACATGGAGGAATTGTGGACATAGACCTCTCTGGAGGCCAACACCTTTGTATAGTGTATCGCCATACCGTAAGACATTGAATAATTGTATTTGTGGGTACACTGTCCTCGTGAGTTTTGCGGTTGGGTTTACGATTACAATCGATTATTGATCGATATATTGTGAGCAATAACCAGGACTAGTTGTTACCCCTGTCAGGGACGATGGTGTAGCCTTGTGGTTAAAGCGTTACGCGTCATGCCAAGGACCCGGGTTCGATTCCCCACGTGGGTACAATGTGTGAAGCCCATATCTGGTGTCCCCGCAGTGACATTGCTGGAATATTGCTAATAGCAGCTCAAAACCATACTCACTCACTGTTACCCTGCCAAGTGTTTGGCATCAAAACACTAAATTTTCATGTTTCTGATCTCAGCAGTGAAGATACCATAATTTATTCCATGAAGTCCATAGACTAGACACCATGACGTCAGTTACTCATTAACAAAGGATGATACTGCTAAGTACTTGCCTATCCTCCTTCTTCCACCCCCACGATGATACTCCTGGAATATTGCTGAAAGTGGCAGAAAAACAACCCCAAATAATAGTTTATGTCTGACCTTGTAAGCTACAGAGCTTCATTAGAATCTTTTTGAAAATAATAATGATAATTAGAAGATTTATAACGTGCCGTGTCCAAGCTAGATATCCTGCTCAAAGTGCACAATCTGGGCCCTTATTCTCGAAACGTTCGTAGCCCTAAGAATTCTTAGCCAATGTGTTAAGAATGGGCTTAGAAATTCGTAGGGCTACGAACGTTGGAGAATAGCTAGTCTGATCGTTATTACCCCGGATAACCCAAGCTGCCTGTTAGGCTCCAGAAGGTTAATAGTCTCACAACTTATTTCACCGAGTACCCATTTTCTGCTGGGTGAACAGAGGCAAGTTTGAGCAAACTCACTTGCCTAAGGTGAGACCACATGTATCACATGTGTTTCGTTGTGGGGCAGGACTGAAGTGCTAGAAACTCTCAGGAGTCAAGCTGCCAAACACAGTCAGCCCATCCAAGGACTTTCCACACCCAACGTTGCATAACTTCAACTGAATGTGACCTGAGCTCTGTGCACAGGACCACTAGGCCACCATATGTATTGTTTGCCTGTGCATGCCTGCCTGATTATTTCTTGTGTTTGTGAAGAAGATGCCATTTTTTGCAAGTTGTGCAGCCTGATTACGTCAGTATTGCATGTGTGTAAGAATGTTCGTGTAATGTTGTTGGTAAGGATTTCTGGCATGAGTGTGCATCAATCTCATTAACATGACATCCTTGATACTGATACAATACCTCATGCAAGGAGATCTGAGGACAACTCAACAGGAGGTCAGTCCAGTCCCCATTAACATTTCGTAATTCTCACTACAAGCGCATGAAGCATTTAAATTAGCATATCTGTTTCCTGTATAGTGGAAATTAAAGGTTTCTATAAGATCAGATTTTAATGAGTTTGAGTAAACACTGAAAATTCATCAAAGGGGCTAAAATTGCATTTGAAATAAATAGATTGTTTTTTATCGTTCCTTCTGCTCTTAAGTTTAATTTGCATTAAACACAAGAGCTTTGTTTGAAAAATGAATAGATATATTGTGAAAAATGAACCAATCATGTTACTCAGGAAAATTGAATCCTTGATGAACATTAAGAAAGGAGGTAATATTCTGTAAGTTTCATGTCTTCCTTTCGAACTTATTTTTGTCTGTTGGTTTCATGAAGTATCCCCATTTCTGAGAAAGGTCAGGGTCATTGCTCCCCATTTTACTGGTTTCTAAAATGAATAGAGGTAGCCCCTTTGTGACTCTCAAGGCAAACTAAAACATATAGAATTATAAAACTGGTGTTATGGTACTCGTGCTTCTATGCAATTGTAGAGCCCGTAGTAAGTGTAGAATATAACTTTGTCAGTTGAACCTCATAGATCTCGAAACCAGCTTTCAGACATTAGGTTTGGATATCATTACAATATATGTACTAATTAGGAGTGAAATGGTTACTCTCTTACCACTGTACAGTACATATTGCGGTACAAGGCCTTCGGTTCAGTCCGTTTCGGTTTGGTATATAAAATATATGATCATAAAGCAGAACATTGACAACAAGAGCCAAACCTTACATTGTTCAATAACATGGGGAAAAGTAGCCATAATCTTTGTTATTTTGAATGAACAAAACTGGCATCTTATGACTAGATAGAAATGACGGTTAGAAAACCGAAAATACCAAATTTTTTATTGCATTATAGTATACCGAACTGAAGGCAAAATACCACAGTATACAGTTTCACCCCTAGTACTAAGGACAGAAATAGTCAAGATGGAAATTACCCAGACAATTGTTTTTGTTGATGTTCAAGGAATACTAAATGCTGGAAGAATTATCAGTTTGTGGGAAGGTATTGATGTATGTTTTCGCTATTCTGGCTCGTTGACATTCTAGGTTAATTTCCATCCCTGACACTAACTGTAAACTTTGAGAAGGTGCCGTCTAGAGCTGGTTATCATTACATTTTGTCAGATCGATGATCGCTAGTGTCAGATCGATAATCGATAGATTATAATCATTTGGACGGTCATTTCGTAGTCAAATACGTACGTTAGCAAACTAACTTCCGGGATGTTGTCAGCACTTGTCAATTGTTAACGCTAGCAAATTAGTTACATTTGCAGCGTCTTTGGATCATCAAGTATCCTATCGTCTTTCAGTTCCGATCATTATGTGTTTTTGATCGCCCATTACAATTCACGTTTGTTGCGCGAAAATACTAGAAAATCCATGAGAAGCATCCCGAATGACACAAGGCGATGCCCGCTTTCGTTCTGACATCGATATGCTACGAATCAAGATTCCATGCGTAGGCAACAGTATAAAAAAACAAACAAGACATTAATTTTAACTCAGGGTACCTTAATGCAATATCTACCTCATAATCAAATGCACAAAAATCCTCAATCTTTACTCCAAAGATGCCATTAATGTTTCGTCTGCTTAGTTGACCTCCCACCTTACAAGATCACGCTACTAGTCATGTGACCTCGCTGGTAGATTTATTTTCATGGCATGCCATTTTTTAAAAAACCTTTTGTTTATGTTGAAGAGTGAACAAAGACATTTCCTTAAGGTTGAAACACAAAATTTATTCTGGGATGTATTGTAATCAGTCACTGTATCGAAAGTTTAAGAGAATTCATGAACCTGAAAATAGCTCTATTTTACCTGCCTTGCGTAAGTCACGTGTTTGTATGCAAATGCAACTCAAGGAATTCCCTCTTTCAGCCAATTAGAAAGTGGCTAACTTGTAACATCGTGGTCGTATTGTGACGTCTTGTTGCATGATTGGACGAATGAGTTTTCGCAGAATTTGCTCATGAATATTAAATAATTTCTTTAAACCACTTTACAACTCGTAGTATTTCAATGATGAAATAGGACACCCCAATCTAAATATATCTAGCGTTGCCATTAGCTGACAGGGGAGGCATGCGTACTTGTGTACTACACAGCTTCCGTTTAAGAGGTAAACAAGCAATGACAACCAGAGTGTTCAGTATAAGAAAACATGACAAGGTAGAATAAAACGTTTTAATGTATGTGCATCCAAATAATGATGATTTCTGATTATCAATCTGCAGTTTATTTGTAATCGACAATTGTTTATTTTGACTTAGATCGAATGATTAACCGATCATATGATTAATCACTCCAGCACTATTGCCGTCTGGATTAACAAGGTTTCAGTGTAGATTAACTTCCCATCTAGGTGACCGGTATGAGGAGGAGCCGCGGAGGACCAAGAAGCTTGATGACATCGATGACTGGGGCGGCGGAAAAAAGTCCATCGCCAACGAAGCAGTGGACAGAGTCAAGGATGTATGGAACAAAGTGACGGGTCGACGAGGAGGAGCAGAGGCGCCAGATTTCTAGTGAGTCAATATCTTCATCTTTACCAGGCAGAGTCTGGGGCAAAATAAGTTTTCAGTATCTTATACTTGTATCCTTACATCTAGTCTCTGAAAGAAACATTTTTACAGAAAAAATGTTTCCTAAATCATAATCCTAAAAGAAAATGAAAAGAAGCCCATAGACTTTCTGCATCTTGGTTTTCATGGGGGGTAGCCTGATGGTTTAAACATCGCCATGTTGTCACGTTGAAGACCCAATTCCCCATCTGGGCAAAATTTGAGTAGCCTATTTCTGGTGTCTCCTGCCATTATGTTTCTGGAATATTGCTAAAAGCAGTGTAAAACTAAACTCACTCACGTACTCACGCACTCACTCACTCACACTGCCATATATTATGAACGGTCCCTAACAATTCCTCAATTTAATGGATTCATTAAACAAAATATGATTTTTCTTTCAGTGACGATGATGACAGGGGAAGTCGCTATGACGACAGAGTCAGTCGCTACGACGACTACAGAGACAGAAACAAAGACAAAGACAAAGACAGAGACAGAGATGTGGATAATGATGATGATTACAGTGAAAAGGACCGAGATCGGCCCAGGGATCGTGATCGTTATGAATATAAAGACGATGATGAAAATGAATTTACATCAGTGGAAAGAACTCATACAACACGTACAGAAAAAATCACAACAAATAGACGGTCAAGACAAGCAAAGAAAATTGATCTCGGAGCTGCTAGCACCTTCGGCAAAGATGCAGATTCAGTGGTAGGATGGAATTACTGTTTACATACTCTTGCAGGATACCTGTTAGCCATTTTGTGGGAAGCTTCTGATCCAGTCCTTTGGCACCATAGAGAGATATTAAAAGCTCAAAATAAAGCTATGTAAACAATTCATTAACATTGAAAATCAAACATTCAGTGTTGAAATTAACTTAATCTAGTGTTCCAAAATGGCTACCTCATTGGTTACATACATACGGATTATGTTTTGACCAATGTAGTTTTCATTAACCTCTATCATGAAAAGTGACATTTTTTTCTGGAAACTTCTATTATCAAACTTAGGTATGTTAGTATTCCTATTAAATGTTGACTTTTGTGATAAACAGGTCCCAAGTGAGACTTAGGGCAACTGCCCACCACTATATATTTCACCATTCCTAGTCCTTACCTAGTTTTGGAGAGGATGTATTGGAATGAATTGGGAATTTTATTATATCCAATTTGGGGAATTTTTGTTGCAAGCTTGAGTCGGAATATCAGCCCCTGAGTAGGTCTAGATAAATTCCCCAAATACAGCCCTTGTCTTATTAATGATGCAATTTTATGGCAGATCTGGGCCACATTTCACAAAGCTCTTGTAGGCCTGAGATCTCGTAACTTTTCTCGTAACATTGGTACCTGCTATACTGTAACATAGGAGGTACGAATGCTACGAGAAAAAAGTTACGAGATCTTAGGCTTGCGAGAGTTTTGTGAAATGGGGCCCATGTCTCTAGTGCCTGTTCCACTCAGTGCTGGAAATGGTTGGACAGTTTGGGTCAGCATATTAGCCTCTGACAAGGTCAAGATTCAACAAAACTACAGCCCTAATCTTACTAGCGATGCAATCGAGCAGCTGATCATGGGCAGAATATCAGCCTCTTAGCATTCAAGATATATCAGCAAAACTACAGCCCTGATCTTACTAACGATGCAGTTGAGCAGCTTATAATATCACTAGTGCCTGTTCCACTTAATGCTAGAAATGTAAAGACAGTTCTCGCAGCAGTACAACGACCTCTTATATCCTTAGCAATATTGATTCATCTACTTGTGAAGGTAATTCATAGATAATTCAGATTAATCACGAATGTAGTTCTGCTACGGAAATTCATGGCTTAATTTACTGGTTGGCGAGTGCAGTATTGATTAATGTGTCAATGAGGGTTCTATAGTTTATGCTTTCTAGCCATGCCATCTGTAACTAATGACAACACAGTCTGATTCTGCCTTTATCAACAGCAGTAAACACTCAGTGATATGATTATTAATGTATGTCTTGAATGAAAAAATGGATGATTGGTCCTAATCATCAGATTAGGTTTCTGTGCTAATCATTGAGGTTGTATCATTTAGAGGATTTCAATGATTATTGATGTTGGTTTCTTCTAGTTGCCTTCCAAAGAATCAGTCATGAATTCTGCAATCTGTAAATAATGATGTTTATCTCTTTTTTTCCTAAAATTCAAAGAGACAGTCAAAGAAGAAGAATTGTCAACATCTATATCAGTACTGTTAATAAGACTGGCTAAACATATTGATGATCGTAAATATCGTTGATGTGAAAAATATCAATGATTCTCGATATAAAACTTGCATTATCTATAGTATCGAACATGAACTATTGTACTTAAATCGAGGTTTAATTTACTCGGACAATACACAAAGTTAGGACTTTATTCATGAGCTGCTTCTAAATTATGTTCAAGGTGGTGTTCTGTTAGTAATCCAAGCCTAAATATGTCACCACTTACCTGTTACCGGTATGTGAAATATGGTGATTTCTTTCATATTGAAAAAAACATTTTTTTGCTTAAAGTTACTCCACCGATATTTGTCTATAATCGATCAATGTTAAATAAATGATTATCAATCTCTCTGATCTATATCAATTGGCATCCCAGACTGCTATTGATGAATAAAGAACAAACTTGTAAATCACACAATCACAGAAGTATGATCAGGAAACAACATCAAAAGATAGTTTTTGTCTAGATGCAGAGCAGATTTTGGTAGCAAGGATGAGAATTTTCCGCAGGATCCGCAGAATTCCAGGAATTTCATAAGGCCAAGGGTCATTTTGTGAATCGTCTAAATCCGATAGATGCTAAACCCCAGCTAGTTTTCAGAGTTTTTCTCAAAGCTTCATTCCCATCCCTGTGGTAGGCATAAAGATTAAAGTATTATTATACCCCTTTCATACAGCAGAGATAAAAGCTTAGCGGGAAGGAGAAAGGAGGGGAGTCACGGGTCAAATAACTGTAATGCAGTCATCCCTAGTAATCTTTTACCTTTTCTTTTTATCTGTACGTCTTGTTGTTTTTGTGGCCTTATTGTCAAATTATATTGTTATTGTGTCCTATTTTGTGACATAAGATTGGGTAGGATCAGTTGTATATGTTTTACCTAAAGACACATTTCTACGTTTAATCGGAACTCTGTAGAAGAGAATTGTTCATATTGATCTTAATGATTGTACTGGAAATATTCTCTGTAAACATAACACAATATTGAAGTATTTTGACATACTGTTTCTCCTTTCAGAGTGTAAATAGTACTAATGTAGAGAATGCACCTAGTCTTATCGATATGGGACATCAACAGAAGGCATCAGAGTCCTCCTTTGCTGACTTCAGCGGATATCAATGTGCAAATGCTAATGGAAGTTTTGACGATTTTAACCCTAGGGCAGCAACAACACCTCAATGTAAGTGAAACTTTATTTGCCTGCAGTATATTTTGGGGGGCATGATGATTATTTTTCCTCAGGGAAACAGAAACTCTGAACACAGTCTGCCCCCTGTACTACCCTGTGAGTGTATGTCTTCTATCTGTACAACTCACCATTGACTGGATTATGCTATGAGGTTGATTTTTACAATTACCCATGCTTCACTGTGATAGAAAATTCACCAAGAAAGGCCAGGGCTCGATTTAAGGAAATGAAACTTTCTTGCACCCAGTGCAACCTCATTCAATAACCTTGTTGCACCAAACAAAAACACTGTTTAACATAAACTTTTATATAATGCTTGAGTTTTGGTAATGGCGGTTTAGAACATTATAACAAAAGAAATCTTGGCCTGATAAGAAGTCTGTGTTCTTTGAACACAAAATATAACATGTCACTGGGTGCAAGTTGATATGCATAAGAGATTACATTTAACAGTTTCAGGTTGCAGTGCAAGTTCTAAATGCTTAAATCGAGCCCTGAAGTCTACTAGCCCAATTAGTGATACCATATATTAGTAAAATGTTTGAAATTCTATAATTGCACCATATAACTGGAATATTGCTCAGTGCTGATTGCTATTCCTGTTGACAGATTTTGCAGTTTAATCAGGAATATCTTTCCTATAGTATGAGTGGTGTTTGGGTAGATTAGTGGTTAAAGTATTGTCTTGTTATGCTGAAGACCTGGGTTTCGATTAAACTAAACGCACTCACTCTTTCCTATGACAGGCTTGTCAGATTGTCAACTCATTGCCTGTGTCAACCACTGATTTGTCTGGTCCACACTTGCCTATTATAGGCTGGACTGATGCAGCTGAAATATTTCTGACGTCCACTTAATGCAGCACTCACTCACTCACTCACTCACTCACTCACTCACTCACTCACTCACTCCTCACTCACTCACTCACTCACTCACTCACTCACTCACTCACTCACTCACTCATGGCTTCATTATGCTTGTTTTCAGCTGCAGGTCAACCAGCTGATTTCGGTGACTTTGCACAGTTTCAGAATGGAGGAACAGTCTCATCTCCCACAGGGTAAGATACTATGGATGAACTCATTGCAGTATCACAGATCAGAATCTAAGATGATGGAATTAATACAAATTATGTTGACATTATCTTCATACACTTTCTCACAAGGAAATCTGACATTTGTCATCTCCTGTTACAATAAAGGGGCGTAATAGTAGTAGCCTAGTGGTTAAAGCATTTTCTTGTCACGCCTAAGGCCCGGGTTTGATTCCCCACATGGGTACAATGAGTAAAACCATACTCACTCACTGTTACAATAAATAAATGTAAGCATGCTCACCATACACTTACTGAAGAACTCTAATGCATACAATGAGAAATAGAAACTTTTATGGTGAGTTTCTTCTCTACAGTGTGTCCCTTGTGTAAATCTTCTTTTCTTTTCTTTTTTAAACGTTAACAGCATGTCCTGTGTAAATTTTTATTCTTTTTATAGATGTGACTGAAGTGTGATGATGGATGAGTTTTGCTTTTTATGCATGTATTCACATATTTAATTTCCTGCATAAGTGGTGGGGAGGTAGGGTAGCCTAGTGGTTAAGCTGAAGGCAAGGGTACAATGTGTGAAACCCATTTCTGGTGTCCCCCCGCTGTGATATTGCTGGAATATTGCTAAAAGCGGCTTAAAACCATACTCACTCACTCTCTCCTGCATAAGTGAGCAGCTGAAATCCTAATTCATAGAACAAATGAACAGCTTGAGTAAGACCTCAGTGTTACCTTGACAAGAACATTAGGTGATAAGACTCTCAGATTGATACAATCTCCTTGTTTCCCAGCTCTGCCAACTTCGCAGACTTTTCACAGATGAACTCCGCCAACTCTCCGACGTCCCCAGTCTCTGGAACACCAGCAGTTTCTAACACAGCCGCCGCAAGCAACGATCTCTTCGATATGTTCGGATCAACGTCCCCTCAGTCCACCCCCATACAACCTATGCAAACAGCATCCAACCTCATGTCATCACCGGCCCAAGCCCCCACATCCATGATGCCAACCCAGCCTGCAATGGGAACGACATCACCCATGATGAGCACGCCCCCTATGGGGATGGGGATGCCAGTCAAACCAGGGATGGGACCACGGATGGGAACCAGGGATGGGACCACAGATGGGACCACAGATGGCGGTGAGTTGGTTCAATCCTTGGTGTCAGAAAGTAATGAATTATGTTTGATTTTCAATGATAATAAGACATTAAGGCTTTTGTTCAACAATTATATACACCCGCCAGAAGCACCTGATTTCGGGGGTTTTTTTCATGTGTGTGCCTTTTGATGTTAATACGTGCTGTCTGTGTTTTAACAGTGTGAGTGCCCCTTGCCTCGCACATGTTGCGGTAATGCCTGTACTTGAAATGTGAATAACAGTAAACTTACACCAACTACCAGCTTCATCTTATTTTCATTTGGAAAGGAGACTTACCAGGCAGTCGCATGTTTGGGCAACATCGCTGCACTTTTCTGACAAATTATGATGTTAATAGTTATTGTGAATTTATAATGCGCCTTTTCCATGTACAGTGCACATGCTGCGCTAACACATAATCTGATCATTATTACCCCGGATAACCCATTTTTTGCTGGGATTAATCATGAAAATTGGTCCAGACTCTTAATATCAACCTCTAGTTGGCCCAGACTCTGAATATCAACCACTGGTTGGCCCTGACTCTGAATATCAACCACTTGTTGGCCCTGACTCTTAATATCAACCACTGGTTGGCCCTGACTTAAAAATCAACCACTGGTTGGCCCTGACTCTTAATATCAACCACTGGTTGGTTCAGACTTATATCATGAACCACTGGTTGGCCCAGACTCACTGACAGGTTGCAATGATATAGCTGATCTCAGTGTAAAGCAACAGAGAGACTTCCAGTTAGGAGCAGAACCTTTAACACCTGCTGATCGTACAAGTCCACTAACAAGGACAAAGGATGAGGACTGTGAGACCAGAATTAAATATGATGAATCTGTTGCCTAATGCCTGGAGGCAATTCGACCATGGTCCATCTTGGAAGGTTCCGGAGTTTCGGCACTTCTGACTGCTCTTTTTCAGATGAGTGGCATGGCACCAGGGATGGGGATGCCGGGCCAGATGCCTGGGCAGATGCCAATGGGGATGATGCCAGGGATGTCGACGCACATGATGGGCCAGCAGGTGATTACTGTTCTGTAGAACTTCAACACATCCATTGTCCAGTGCCTTGTCTATATGCTCAATACTGCCATGAGTTTTCTGCCTCCTTTATCCAACATAAACAAAATACATGGTGTTGTTATGAAGTATCACTGTCCATTTATCTTCCGGCTAATTTCAAACTGTTTGTAAAGACAGAAAAATCTGATGTTTTGTACATATTGCCGTAATCAGTATGCAAAGAAGTGAACAAAACAAAATTGTAAATGGTTAGCAAAGACAGGAAACCAAAAGTGTTTTAAGGAATAGGGAAGATTTGTCTGTAAAGCAAGAAATTACATAGATTTTGGCTTGTGAGAAATGAATCATGTTTACATTGACAGTCCAGGGTAGGTGGGAAGGGAGGTGTGCGGAGGCAGAATTTCTCTGGTGGTGTTGGTGCATGCTTGGTGTTTGATAAGATCACTGTTAAGGCTTATGCAGCACTTTTGTTTGGCTTCATGTGATTCTGGTGTCCACTGTGTTGTGAATACGGATTCTGTTTTGTTTTAAGTTATCATATGCTTATTTAACAAAATAATTTCTTCAAAATGTTTTATTTAAAGCTTAGTAATAATTTCATTGTTTTATAGAAATTATTGTCAAGAGAGTTTCCTTGGGAACAACATTAATCCATTATTTTGAATACTGTTTTGTCATAAGTACTCTTTACTTGATGCTGTATCTCTATTCATACAGTAATGTAGTGTTGAATTGTGACACGAGGTTTATGATACAATACATCGATTTACAACGCCTTATCAGAAAACATACGATTCGTTACACTTTATTTTGATGAAAAACGTGAAATAAAATAAGTGTGTATAAAGATTCTCTAGTATTTCCTGATCGGCTATAAATAGCAAAATCTGCACAAAGCCCCCAAGCATACGTGTTTCTTCCCTACAATACATCAATTTACAACAACTTATCACAATACATACTATTCATTATTATTAGTTATTTTGAATAAAAACATGAATTATATAAGAAACTGTATGCAGATTCTCTGGTATTTCGTTTTCGGCTACAAATAGCTAAATCTACACAGTGCACCCAGGCATACATGTTTCTTCCTACAATATCCAATATTTTGCTACCTGAAATTTGAAATACAATTCAGGGTTGTGATTCACCTGCAAAAAAGAAGAGAATATGAACTTATGAAATAACAGTACTGTATCAGAATATAAATCATATCACACCTATATTACCAGCAAATCGGGCCGTGGGGTAGCCTTGTGGTTAGAGCGTTCAGCTCGTCATGCTGAAGACCCAAGTTCAATTCCCTACATGGGTGATCCGTGAAGATCCGGGGTAGAATAGGTCTTTAGCAACCCATGCTTGCCATAAAAGGCGACTTTGCTTGTCGTAAGAGGCGACTAACGGGATCAGGTGGTCAGGCTCGCTGACTTGGTTGACACATGTCATCGGTTCCCAATTGCGCAGATCGATGCTCATGCTGTTGATCACTGGATTGTCTGGTCCAGACTCCATTATTCACAGACGGCCGCCATATAGCTGGAATATTGCTGAGTGTGGCGTAAAACTAAACTCACTCACTCACTCACTCCCTACATGGGTACAATTTGTGAAGCTCATTTCTGGTGTCCCCTGCCGTGATATTGCTGGAATATTGCTAAACCATACTCACTCACTTACTATCAACAAATGTATCATATCATTACACCTCTAAAGAGTCCCATGATGAACTGTTATCTTGTCTGATGCTGAATACCCACAGCAACAAAAATATTCCGCTCTTCAGTCATAGTACAGGCCCGTTTGTTTAGGATAATTTTTGGATATTTTTTGACAGTGGCCTATTTGATAAAAACGTGTTCCATTGTCGATACTAAACGTAGTGCCCAAGGAAAGTCTGAATGTTGTTGGCGTTAGTAGTTAGTTATCACCCTCTCCTCCCCTCCCCAGCCCATGATGTCGCCCATGGCAACGGGTATGATGCAGCAGCCCATGCAGATGACTGGTGTAGGCTACGCAAACTCCTCCATGCAAAATTCCATATCCACTCCCATGCAGGTAAGATGGTTGGCCCTTATCATGTATATCTCTTGATGTTTGATGTTGTTCTGGAATTGAATCTGTGTTCTAATGTGACTTTTGTGAATTTTGCTTTTAAATGGTTAAATACATATGTGTAAAATAAAGTCTCCGTGGGTTTCAACTGAGGTAAGTATGACAGGTAATGAGAAGAATATCATCTAGTATGTCCTGCTTTGAAGCTATGTTTATTGGACTTTCTCTGCGTTTCAGTTGTCAGCTCTGCACATTGAATATAAGCGTTATTGTGCTTTGTGTGATGCCTGTAATATGTGTCTCAAATCTTTATTCTTACTGAAATAATATGTGTAAAATTCAATATGTATGTGTTTTGGTTTTACTGAGTGACATGTGAAACTTTGATAGTAAATGTGGCAAATTTGGATGGTTGACATCGGAAACTTAGTTGTATGCCATGGGAATATCTTGGATGATTGACATGGGAAAGTTGGTTGAATGCAACAAGGGAACTCTTTGAATGCAATGGGAAACGTCTGTGATTGACATGAGAGGTTTGGTTGAATGCAAATGAGAAACTTGGATGATTGACAAGGGAAACTTGCTTTACATTTAATTTGTTGAATTTGTTTGCACAACTGTTTCCTTTTTCTCTCTATCACTGAGACAGTGTTTGTTTTTTATCACTGGATAAATTATTTTAAACATTAGCATCTCTAATATTTTGACAGTTTAATTGTTCTTTTTCATTTTGTCAATACTTTTGTTCTTGGATATCAGTAAATCATCCTTGAGTATCAGGACAGATTCCGCACTCAGCACGGTTTCTTTGGTTACATTGAATGTATGAATAAATCAGCTGACCTTAGTCTTCAGAACTACCACAACAGCACAGAGTTAATGCCCCTACTTGTGCCAGGATCATTGGTACAAATCACAAAGTTTTTGAAGGTTTTTCTGATCGCAGCTAAGGTTCTAGGTTTGTCAGCATATATTAACGGGAACTGCCAGGGAGGCAAATGTTCCTGACCTGCATCACTGTGCAGTGTTCGAAATAGACTAGGTTATCAGGTCCCTGACGCCCTATTCTGCTGCTTGACCCGTGAAGATCGGGGTTAGAAATGGTCTTCAGTAACCCATGCTTGTTATAAGAGGCGACTAACGGGATCAGGTGGTAAGGCTTGCTGACTTGGCTGACACGTCATCGTATCCCAGTTGCGTAGATCGATGCTCATGCTGTTGATCACTGGATTGTCTGGTCCACACTCGATTATTTACAGACTGCCGCCATATAGCTGGAATATTGCTGAGTGTGGCATAAAACTAAAATCACTCCCTCACTTTTCTACTACTAAATTGTTAAGACACTGCTAGATCTTTATCATTTGTGTTAGGACCTGGCTCCCTTGACTTTCATGTTTAACTGTCCTCCCATACTAAACCAACCATCACTATTACAATTTAAGTGCTCACTCACTTTGAGTCCTTGAATTTAGGAACCAAAGAAATGACACCATTCCAGCCAAAGAGAGTTCTACCCATTAGGGTATGATACAATTAGCATGAACATAACAGTCAGATATAATTTCTGTAGTCTGTTTTAAAGATAGTGGATCAGGTGGACACTATGTCTGCAAGGAGTCACTGAACCTGATTTCGGACTGCTTGACAGGCCTGATGCTTATTCCATTGATCACCAGTTTGTCTGGGCTAGGAATGATCCAACGTAACTGTGACATCGCTGACAATAGCAGACTTTCTATTTACATATTTCACAATTTTTTGTCTTGAGGCGCTATTGCCATGAAAGTAAGGGTCCTTGTCATAACCCTAATGTTAAAGGTTTAGGGTACTCCAGACTGAGTACGCTAGGAGATTGGCTAAAATCTGTAATATTTGGTAAGTTATGATCTTTGACTTACCATGTGTGGTTCCAGCAGTAAGTGTCCCGTGAAGATCTGTGTTTAGAATTAATCCTCAGTAACTCATGCTTGTCGTAAGAGGGGACTAACGGGATCAGATGTCAGACTCGCTGATTTGTTTGATACATGTCATTGTATCCAAGTTGCGTAGATTGATGCTGTTGATCACTGGATTGTCTGATCCAGACTCCATTATTTACAGCTAGAATACTGCTGAGTGTGGCGTAAAACTAAACTCACTCCTGCTATAACTGTAAAAAGGTTAAAAGAATTTAGCCAATGGATTCCAAGTGCTTCATATTCAACTGGGGATGCAACATTTGTCAGTCATTACCCATGGCAACTACATAGGAACAAATGATACAAAATACATTTGGAATTGACAGATATAATTTGCTGCAAGACATAACTTGAATTTGAAAAGACATCAAATGAACTAAGAATCTTACTTTTCTATTGAAATGTTCCAAGACACATCATGGAATCGCATGGATCTGAGTTTGTGACTAACATGATGGAAAGTTTCAATTTTTGTACATTATGTTTCACTATGTTTTTTCCAGTGAAACAGCTCTTTCCATTGTCTAGAGAGGGTTGTTTGATATTTGCAATAAAGTGAAATGTAAAACCTGAACTGTTGAACGTAGTGATCAGATTCAAAATGCCTGATTTTAAGCATCTCCTATAGCTGAATCTGTGTCTACCTCCTCTCTCACATTGTGTTTTCTGTACACGTCACTCAGGACACGCCAACCTCTGACCCTTCGTCAGCAGGGCCACAAACACCCAAGGTTTGTTTCTCTTTTTTTTCTCACCCTTTCTACCCCGGCACTTGCAGCTGGTCAGAATACCTTGGCTTCAAGGAGTAGTTTCAGAAGTAAGGTACAAGTGGATAACTCATGCACCATACAACACTGTTTTTGTATCAGGCATGTGATTTTTCCGTCTAAATTCAGAATTCTGTCTTTTTAATCTCCATGTAAAAGAAAGAAAAAAAATCTGTTTTTCAGCATTTTTTCCGACCCTAAAGCGTGTTAAAATCTGGATTCATCTAATTTCCGATCCCACACCCCCAGCTAAATCTCAGTCTTTTTCAGTTGGGTCAAATCACATGCCTGTTGTATGAACTGAAATTGACTTTTAATTAAACTCAAACAGTTCAGGAATAATTATAAGTGTTTAATGTATTATGTCAGACATTTTTATAAACCAGTAATATTCATTCCAAAATCATGATTGCTTAAAGATCAAGAAAATAGGTTGGAGATTTATATACATATGTGTATATCACTATAGACATTATCTTGTATCTAAGATCTAATCTTTGGTAATATCTGTTAATTTTTAATCAGTTTAATTTGGTTGTGTAAAGCCAAGATATGCTGATATTACTGCTCCACTAATTTTTATGCATTTTGATTCAGCCATATTTGTTGGCTGTAGATTAGCCGCTTCTCAGTCTGTCACTGTCCATGTCATTCCCATTTGTTTCTCCATATGCTTGAAGTACATGACATTAATTGTCACTCATGTTAAAATTATTTGGTTTACAGAGTTTTTGTTGGTGGTCGAAATTAGATGAGACATATTGTTTTCTCTCTTCTTTAAAAAAAACGTTTTTAGGGAGATTAAAAATATGTATTTTATCTCTTAGCTTAAAATGTTGTCTGCTGACATTAATAATAATTTTTTCATAATTTGTGTTATTTGCATTCTTCAGTTTTATTTTTGGTTATGGAAATCTGTAAACCAAGTAGGTATATAACATAAGCATCATGGTTGTTTTAACATGAGATGTGGGGTCTATAGTTGCAGAAGCTGCAAGTTGACTATATTGATCTTGTGTCATACTTGAGTTCATAGTGTTGTGACTATTTGAAGTAAGCTTCTTGACTTAAAAGACTTAAATAATATATTTATATATTAACGTTGCATCTACCTTTTGTTTTCTATAATTCAGTGTTTCAAAATGCATGAAAGTAGATGGCTTGACATTAGGCATTATGGCATCCCACAATACCAACTCCACATGTTATTGGTCAGACAGACATTTACCTCTCCACAAGACTCTACTCATGAAGATCTGGGTTAGAATAGGTCTTCAGTAAGACATGACTACTGGGAACCAGGGCCTAGATTTTCGAAGCTCTCTTAGAGCTAAGATAGTCGTAAGTGCCATACATTAACATTAACTTACGACTATCTTAGCGCTAAGAGAGCTTCGAAAATCTAGGCCCAGTGCTCAGGCTCGCTGACTTGGTTGACACGTCATTGTATCCCAATTGCGTATGATGATGCTCATGTTGATCACTGGACTGTTTGGTCCAGAGTCGATGATTTAAAGACCGCCACCATATAGCTGGAATATTGCTGAGTGTGGTGTAAAACAACAAACCAAACCAAGAAAAACATAAGGCTCCTGCAAAAAACTATTTGTCAAAACCCTGTTGACTGAATTGTCTGTACAAAAGGCAAGCCCTATGTGTTGTATTAAAGTAAGTCTACAGCACTCTGCTGCTTATCAGTTGCTTACATGGTTCTGATGATAGGTCATCATGACCTCGCTGATTAAGCATCGTTGTATGTTGCCTCTGTGGAATGTTGTGCTTGCTGTCAACCACTTGTTATCGAACTAAGCCCTGAGAGCACCAGGGTACAATAGGTACCCTCAACACTTCCTTGCTCTAAAGTGGCCTTCACACGTCAAACTAAAGTTTGACAAGACATGTTAAAATTTTATTTTCACACGTCAAACTCGTGTTGTCAAACTTTTGTGTCATTTGAGCGCCATATCTTTATTGGTGCGGTCATTTGACAATTTTCATTAATTGTGATTGGTTGTTTCTGAACAAGACGAGTTTGACAACACTTCACACGTCAGACTCGAGTTTGACAACACCAAAGTTTGATGGAAAAGTTGGTGAGAATAGAGGCCGATCCTATTTCTCGACAGCAGTTTGACAACTCTGAAATTGTTCTTGGAATGTTCACTCTCAAACTTGAGTTTGACAACACGTGTTGTCAAACTTTAGTTTGCCGTGTGAAGGTTGCTTAAATGGTGACTAAACTGGAAGCATGCCCTGATTCTTATTTAAGATTTGGTTTCTTTCTTAGGGCATGATTGCATGTCAGTGTAACTGGTCTTTGTGGATCGTGCTCATGATATCAATCATTGGATTGCATACACATGGATGGTTTGTATGTGGTACACTATCAACATAATGCGAAGAACAGCATTTGATGAAAAGCATGACAGCTTAGAGCTGTTTTTATCAAAGAACTGATGCAAAGAAGTTAAATGTTTTAGATTCAGTAGAGGAAGATAAGTGGAGGGAGGGAATGCTCCCAAACAAATACACTGTGTTGTGGGCCGAAAACCAGTGTTTATTGAATTGTTTGATTTCTGAGATAAATAGCAGTATGGCCCCGTTCTTAGCTCATTGTCAAGCTTGCCATGATGCCTTTTCTTGCATGAAGGAATACATTTGTAGTAGAGCCAACAAAGTGGGTGCATTGTCCTGCTCTGTAGTCAGGTCGGTTATCATAGTTACAATGGAATGAAGTCAAGTTTTTTCATCAACTTATCTAGTTCCCCATGTAGAAAATTGGATCAGGTCTGTCTATTTATCTTTTCCAGACCAGAACTCATAAACCATTGAATGTTTCTTGTTGAAACTTGTTGCAGGACAGTCTAGTGGTGAACTGTTGATTTCTGAATTTTAAAACATTTTTTTAATATATTTTTTGTTTTCTTGGCAACAAGTTGGAATTAACTGAAATTGAGAATAGTATGTGTGTCCAAAATTTAGGGCTGCGCAATATAACCGGTTCAGAAATGAAAACGATAGTATTGCGATACGCTGATAGAAAACCGGTATTTTGACTTGCATTCGGAAAACTTCGTAACACTCGGAAATCTTCGGATATTTCCTTGTTTCGTATGTGCCAAATGTTAATTTATTACGATTTAAAGTTGCTATTAAAACTTAATCAAGCATAGGGATGTTGTTGTGTTTTTGCTCTATGAATCAAGCAGTAACTCGATTATAAATAGTTTTTTGTTTAAAATACTTCATGCTTTCACATCGCAATATATCGCAATATGAATATTCTCTGCAATACCCACCCCTACCAAAATTGTTAACTGTTTCTGGATGAAATCTGCTATACCACAAGTAGTTGTCAGTGGAACTGGTGCCTGGGTTTGGTGGAAAATATGGAACGGCAAACAAAAGGGATGTACAAGTAAAGTCCAACCCATTTGCAAATAACTGCACCTGACTCGGGGCATATGGCATCTTCTGATGATCTTTCATATATCTGTCTTTGTGTCCGGTGACAGTTTTAACCCCACGCTTTGTTTTTCTCCCACTATCTTCCACCTGGGGGCTGGTGGTAACAGTAAATCGTGTTGTTTCAGTAAGACCCTACTATGGAATCACATTACCAACAGGACACATGAAGATCCGGGTTAGAATGCATTGGTCTCAGCAGCCCATGCTTGTCATAAGAGGCGACTAATGGGATGGGGCTCACTGACTTGGATGACACATGGCATCGTAGATCAATTGCGTAGATCAATGTTCATGCTCCTGATCACTAGATATCTGATCCAGACCCCACCAGCCTTTCACCAACCCCCCATTTGTGAAGATCCGGGTTAGAATTGGTCTTCAGCAACCCATACTTGTGTAAGAGGCAACTAATGGGATGGATGGCCAGTGTTACCTCGCCTTATGTGTGTCATTGTACCCTGAAGGCAGGGATCTTTGCTCACACTTCTTACCACTGGCTGACAAGGCCATACTTATAGTCCAGTATGATATTGAAGAAATAATGTACTTTGGGAAATAAAAATACTTTAAAAAAAAAAAAAAAATGATATTGAAGAAATGTTGCTGACTGGCATTAAGCAGCTGTGTCTCTCATTAATGTGTCATCAGCATAAATATTGGACAAAATAATTAGATTTACTTTGTTATTTGAAATGCAAAGCAATTTGCATTGTCAGAATTAATTGACATTGTTTACCATATCTTTGAGAAGAAAAGCGTGGCTATGTTAATTGGAAGATCTTAATTATTCATAACATTTCTATGCTTTTTAGTGCCCAGTTGCTTTTGTCTTAGAGCACTGCAACATGTAGAACACTAGACCTTTTTATTATCCCCCGCCACACGTTTAGTGCGAAGCGGGGGATATAGTATTAGGCTCCGTACGTACGAATTGGAATATCTTAAGAACCGTTGACTGGATTCTTTTCATATTTGGTACCTAGGTTCACCACAGTAAAACAAAGGTCCCAGTCAGGTTTGGTGACCTTGACCTTCATTTCAAGGTCACAGGGGGATTTTAACATTTTACCCTTGTCAGCAAGATATCTCAAGAACCGTTCACTGGATTTTCTTCATATTTGACACCAAGCTTCATCTGGGGAAGGTGCAAGGCCCAGTCGATTTTGGTGACACATTGAAGATTTCAGCATGTTAGACTGCATGTTAAGATTGTCAGCCAAATATCTCATGAACAGTTCACTAGATTTTCTTCATAGACTTTCAAGACTTCCCTTGAATGTTTTTCATTAAGCAATTTCTTTCTTACTATTTTTGCATATTTCATACACTAAGACATTCATGTCAAGGTCAAAGTGAGTCTTGAAAATATTTGTGTGTTTGAACAACTACAGATCAAGATATCAAGAGAGGTTGACTGATCATGTTTTTGTTGACATTTAACTTCATCTTAAATTACGACCTTCACTTTCATTACTTTTTAAGTTTGATTTGATAATTTGCGGCGGGGGATTATGTCACCTTAGTGACAATGCTTGTTTTTCCTGTTTTACCATGTACATCTTGTTAGTTTTCTACCTTCTTTCTTTAGGGAGACTGGGTGGTGGGGTAGCCTAGCGGTTAAAGTGTTTGCTCGTCATACCGAAGACACTGGTTCGATTTCCCACATGGGTACAATGTATGAAGCCCATTTCTGGTGGTCCCCAGCCAGAATATTGCTAAAGACATTGTAAAACTAAACTCACTCACTCACTCACTCACTTGAGGGGGACAGCAACATAACTCTGAATCACCATGTCGTCATGCCAGATCTGTTTCCTTGGCAAGTGGTGCAGCAGCTCCAGACCTCGTTGATTCAGCTGGCATATTGCTGATTAGAGTGCAAAATCTTCGCTCAAATGTTGATCTGAAGACTATAGGCATCAGTGTCTTTCACAGTAATTACTGTGCAAAAGTTGCATCCTTTTGCTGTGAAATTTCCAAACTGTGATAGATGTATCTTGTATCTAGCAATTTACAACTTTGAAAATTAGAAATGTTTGTTCAACCTATCACATGAAAACTATTGGTCGGATTGTTTTCACGTGTGGAGACCACCTCCTTTGTCTAATGCAGGGCAAGTTTTCATTTTATTTTTTTATTCTTTTAAAAAATTACAGCAATTACAAAATTTTGAACTTAAAACAAACTAGTTTAACCAATGGTTAAAATGTTTTCAAATTTGGTAAACAGCTTCTTTGTCTAAAAGAGACGTGCAGTTTTGGGCTTGTTATTGAGTTTGGTCTTGCTACTTCTGTATTTTATGTCATGTCTGCATGTAAGGATATGGGTAGCCAGACCATTTCAGTAGTGTTTAGGATTGCTTGAAAGTTTACATCATGGGTTCAAATCCCAGCTTTGTTTCTAAGGTGATATGCACCATACCCTTGTTTGTTCGTTTCACCAAAGAGGTAAATATCTACGACCTGTATCAGTCAACTCAGATGCTTTTCTGCTTTGTCTAATTTTTACTGATCATCACCATGGTAATTTGGAAACTGCTCTGGGAAATGTCAATAGGTGCATAGTTAATAGAGTTTTGCACAGTCTTATGGAATGATTGTTTCAGAAGATAAACACATGGTCCGAGTCTAAGGTGGACATCAGCCTGGACACTCTGAACCCAGCCAACCGATTCCAGAAGCAAGCCCAGCCCAGCATGAACCAACTACAGCAGCAAGGCATGATGGGAACAGGTGAGCAGCAGATTACAGGGTGAATGTTGGAAAAACGGGTTTTACAATGTCAGTGTTTGATACTCATCTGAAAATGATATTTTGAAATTGATACTTGTTTGGTAAAATGGAAATTGTTTCTTGCAGAAATGTTAACGAGTTTTAATTGAAATACAATCTACTATGGATGTAACGGATTTAAAGTTACCAGTAATATGTTATATCCATCAGTTTGTCAACAGTATGCAAATACCACACTGTTTATATATTCAAACTGCTTAAGACTGTTATGCAAAGAGCTGATTAAATACATGGTAGAGTATCTAGTCGTAGAGATTGTGTGTTCGAGATTTTACTTTGTTATTATATTCGTTGTGTATTAACATAGTTATTAGCTGTATTAACAAAGCTGTATTAACTGAACCGGCTTCCGTGTGTAGTGTAGAAACTAACTTGCCATGCTTGCTTAACTAACTCACTGTTACCACATTCGTGCCGATGATGCACATTGATTAACAGAGTTCTCTCCCTTGTAATGTTAACATGCTAACATGTTTCTTTGGCACGATGTATGCAGAGTTAACTAACAAGGAACAACCTGCTTCCACCTTATCTCTCCAAGTTCAGTTACATACATCAGACTCTTGTCAGCACTCCACTGGTTCTGTTTACAATATACATTTCTCCATCACCATGAATATGTATAGATGATTTGCTAGGAAGGTAGACAATCAGTACGATGTTTTATGGGAAGAAATGATAGAAATCATACCAAAATTGCCATCAGTGATATAATACCTAAACTCTTGTGATTGAATTTCGAATTTCAAAACTTCCTATTATTTCTTGTGTCAGTTGCCAAAGACAAAAAACAATTGTTTGTTTTGGTATCTCTTAAAATTTCCACAAACGTGTCACAACTCACCAATGATGTGTTATATGTGAATTTCTTTTGGACCTTATCCGATATTTACTCATGGTTACTTCTCCAATATTTATTGATCATTGATCAATATTTAGTTGAATATGATTGATAACTCTGATCTATATCAACAACCATCCTACTCACTCATAAACCTCACTTGAAACAGTTTTGTCCTTGATTCATAGGTGAGGTGAGGTGATATAGGGTTTAACGTCGTGCTTGAGAATATTTCGCTCATATGACGACGTGCATGCGTGTTTATGTGTATGTGTGGCTGCTTGTACTAGCCCAGACTTAAGCTGGTTTAAAGTGCTAGCCCACTGAGATACCATGCCGCGGTGAAGCATGAATACCCCACTCAGACACATTATACTGACTCCGAGCCGACCAGTCCTTGTTGTGCCCATTAATGCCGAGCGCCAGGCAGGGACCAACAAGTACCATATTTTAACGTCTTTTGGTATGACGCGGTCGGGGATCAAACCCGCGACCTTCCGCTCTCCGGGCGGACGCTCTAACCACTACACTGCTGAGGCGGTCTGATACCGGCAACACCACAAATCAGCTATATTTGTTCAGTTGTGATGGGAGCGGTGGGGTGGTCTAGTGGTTCAGGTGTTCACTCGTCACGCTGAAGATCCAGGTTCGATTCCCCACATGGGTACAATGTGTGATGGAGGGATTTTGGGTATACAGGCCAGTCGAGAGTTGACGCTGTCTCCGCATAGAGTCCTAATGCTGTGACTGGTTGGTTGAAATACATTACGAGTTGAAGTGCAAGGGCCACCTCTGGTTGTCACTGTCATTGGTTGAAATGTAGAGTTAAAGTGCTAGAGCCACCCCTGGTTTTGAGGAGGTGTCTAACCATCTCTGTCTCGCTTCTCTCCCAAGGTGTTGTATTCTGGTACCCTGAGATAAACTGCGCAGGTCTGTACATGGGGGTGGCCAGTCATAATGCATGTGTTGAATATGGCAAGCAGGGTTAAATGTATATATATGTGTGTGTATGTGTGTTCCTATATTCATATGTCTCATTCATTGTTCTTTCTGAGAAATACTCACTTTGGTCATGAGAATAGACTTGTGCATACATCACGTTAACCTGTTATTTCAGCCACTAGTCTGAAGTTCTTGTCTTGTAGAAGCTTTTTCAGGGTAGCTGATAGATTACGAGAACCTGACAAGGCTATCACATGTCAAGTTCAGGCTAGTCGGACTAATAAATGATGGGTTTTTTTTGTTTGTTTGGTTTTTGTTGTTGTTTTTTGGTGGGGGGCTGAAACTGGAATTCCTTTTGTTTCTTCAACACAGAAAGTTTGTATGTTTTGCTGACATCTTTTACCATAGAACTAAGATTATCAGATATTATTAACAGAAGGAATTGAGTCTTGTTAGGATTGTACAGAAAATGTTTTTCTGATAACCTTGTTTTTTGTCATTGGAACCATAATATTTGAATAATTCTGAATACATAAGTTCATAATAAGTGGAAATTCTTACATCCTGGACGCTTAGCTTTTCACAAGGAATGAAGTAGTCAGCTTGTCTCTCTCCCTCCACGTATATGGAGCAGGATTCACTGTCATTAAAATCAGATCTTTTATTCTGATTTGACACCTATGTGTACTGATCTGTGGACCTCAATAGGTCAGGTAGCCATGAAAATGGAGGATGTGTGGGTTCTTGGGAACGTTCAGCCCAGCAGACGTCGTCTTTCTGAACAAATTGGGCGTCATATTTTTACAGAAGATAGGGATCACTGGTAAAGAAAAAGGTCACAAAACACTAACTTCCCTGAATACAAATGTACACCGGGATTTTTCTTCTACATTTAGTTTACTTCAGATGTGTTTGTTCTCGAAAGTACATGGGTTTGTCTGAAGTCTGATAGGCTGATGACAGTTTACTGTACATGACATCTAATGGAGTCAAATGAAGTTGTCCTCAAGATCTTCACATAGGGAGATATCATTGTATCAGAGTAAAACATCTGATTTTGATCAGATTGGCCATGACTCAAATGAGTTTAGTAAGGATATTGCATGGAAATCCCGCATGCTAGAGTCTCCCTGCTCCTGTCCTGGCCATGCTTGACAACGGGACTGAATGCATCCTACTTTCATCTCTCCTCACTTTGAAAATATTTCTATTCCATCTGCAACAGATCTTTCAAGACTATGGATGTGATGGAACTGCACCTTACTCTCTACATTGTCACTTGTATAATCTGCATGTCCTGAATAATTCCACTATGGAATGTTTGTTTTATATTCACGTCTTCAGTACCTCATGGTGTGAATACACAGAGCTGAAATCGGGTGTAATAGTGTTAGGTGAGGGATCGAGGTGTAAGACTTTCACCACTTTGGTTCCTGTCAAATGACTAATCAAGTCACCATTGAAGGTCAGGGTTAGAATTGGTCCTCAGTAATCCATGCTTGTTGTAAGAGGCGACTATTGGAATCGGGTGGTCAAGCTCACTGATTTGTTTGGCACATCGTGTACCAATTGCACAGATTAATGCTTATGCTGTTGATCACTGGATTGTCTGGTCCACTACCCTTCTAGTGGATAATCGATTCCCCACATGGGCACAATGTGTTAAGCCCATTTCTGGTGTCCCCCGCCGTGATATTGCTGGAATATTGCTAAAAGCGGCGTGAAACTAAACTCAGTCAGTCAGTCTAGTGGATAAGTAATATTGTCAGTGAAATCTGCTTGATCTAAGTCATGGCCTGATTTCATTGGTTAAAAATAGAGACTCGACAAAGATGCCCTGTGTATTAGTGTTAAAAAAAATTGGTTAGCCTCATTTTTCAGATTTTCCTATCCAGGTTGTTATTGCAGATAGGTATAAGATGATGCAACTTGCCACTTTAAAGTAATGACTAATATATCATGACCATAAACTTCCTTGAGTCTTCAAGAAATATTCAGTCATGACATTTCAGTTAGTGAAGTGAGTTTTCTAAGAATTAAACAAGTTTGCAGGCCCCGACAACTCCGAAGATATGTTCCATTGTCAAGTGTTTCAAAGACTAAAACAGCAGTTCCAAAATCGTTTGTCTTCGATTATGAGAAAATGTGATCGATTGCTTGGTCGTTCGGTCACTGCGACCAATCTTCGATTATTTCAATTAATCTGAACACCACTACTGTGTATTCACCTTGATGAAGCATGAGTATAAACCCATGAGGTACTGATGATCATCGGTTTCTAGTTTGTGCATCTTGTACTATTTTCTTAAAAAGACTGAAAGCAAAGTCACCATCAGCAGTATTTGTTCATACTCTCAAGCTGTATTGCTGAAAAACACCAGATAATGAAATTTAAAATCTTGTCTTTAAACATGCACTTATTGGATGCAGAAGCAAGATCTGTATTATGTCAGTTGCTATAACAACAGCACACCAAGCACCTGCAGGAATGAGGCAATGGAGTTTTTGACACAGGGGACCAATTCACAAAGTGATCACAAAACTGTCTATTCAGGGTTTTATCTGCGTCCTCAAAAGACTATCTTTGGCCTCATATCTGCAAGACGCGTCAGTAAATATTCCTAAATTAGAATTACAAATTACCATTTTATATTGTAAAACGATAACTTGAGATAATGGTATTTACAGGTGATTTGAGGACAAATTTGAACCAAATAACAATATTTTCCACCAAATCCCCAAATTTGTAATATTTTAAATACTTCCAACATCATTACAAAATTCTATTATTATTACCAGTAATCCTTATATGTCAATCATGGGTAGAGGTATTTTGGTACTGTCCAGTGTAAGTGCTTCTAAATGGGGACATCCCAAGATCATAGTGCAAGGACTAGTGTTTGTCTTTATTTGAGTTGGTTGGTATATGGTCCTTCTTCTCAGATCACTTTGTGTAATAGGTCCAAGGTTTGCCACACTGCGGGATGGGTTAATGTCCCAAGTGAGTGACTTTTTCATCACCAATTTGCTCTATGCTTATGATCTGTGATTGGTCTTAAAACCCTGGAAGGTTACAAGTCTGAATGTTGATACTAGTGAAGTCTACAAATCAAATTACCACTGTCACAGATGTACTGTGAGTCCCGAGTCCTGGCACATCGCCTGACACTGTGGCTTGTTCTGTTGAAGGTATGGGAGGAGGAGGAGCTGCTCCTGCTGGGGCTATGTACACCGGGCAGAGTCCAGCCATGATGGGAGGGATGTCCACAATGAACCAGGGCATGGCTAACATGAGCGTTGGGGCAGCTCCCCGAATGATGAGTCCGCAACCAATGATGGGAACAGGTTTGTAGTTTGTTGTCAAATCCAGGTGATTGTCCTTTGTTGTGCAAATATTTGGATAATCGCCTGCAGACAAAGAACTTGGAGAATGTGGGTTTGAATACTGGATAGGACTCAACCCGAAAGAAGGTTTCAGAATCTGTACTTTTATGAGAAAGTGTAATCCCAAATATGACATGTTGCATTTGTCCACTTTCTAAATATTTGTTGATCTTGGGTGTGTACTGGAAGAGGTAGGACATTCTGGCTCACGGTATTTCTTTCGTGAGCCACCAATCACAGATTGGAGTACAATAGAGTAGTGCCCAAAAGCTTTATAGATTTACTCAATAAACTTTCAGTTGATGTTCATCAAGTTTTTATTCAAAATGTATTTCATGCTTTGAATATGTTTGATACACAGCATTGTGTTTTAGATGCATTTATTATGTAAAATGGGCATTTTGGATTTTTTACAGGTCAAATATTTTGATCTTTTAAATGTGTTCTGTCAGATAAATATTGCTGTGCGTGACATCAACCAGCAGACAGAGCCAGCAGTGTTAATGTCCCTCCATCTGTTTCCAGGAATGGGCATGCAACCAGGGATGATGGGAGGAATGCCCCAGGGCAGCATGGGAATGCAGAGCACCACCGTATCGGGACAGTCGTCGTTCCAGAAGCGCACAGACTCCGCCTTAGCATCTTTCGGCAACGTCAAATAGTGTAGTCCACCATCACCATCAGTCAAATAGTGCATCCATAGTCATACTGACATCACATATACACCCATCAGAGATATCATTCGTATCGCCCTCCTAGGCCTATTTTCTATAACAGTACAGTGACATTTTCAAATTTATATCTACCTGTCTTGTTATGAGCTCTTAAAAAACAGAACAACCTTGATTGCCCAAGGTATTGTGTCTCCATTCTATGATAATAAATATTCTGACAATTCTCACACAGCATCATTTTGGAATCGATGCTTCTACTTCCATCCCTGACCGAGCCCAAATTTTGTCTTCTTCATGAGATTAAAATCAACAACCAAAAACACTGCCTCTGAAAGCAGTTGGGTCTTCAATCTACACTTAAAGTCCCGATCTCTTCCTAATGAGAACATGATTTGTGTAGCAAATCATATTCTTATGTAAACTAACTATAAGTTTCAAAAGATATTTCCCAAGTATATCAAGACAAGGGAGAATGGTCATCAAGCTACATGGTGTTGTGTTTTAGATTTCAGGAAACGCACAGTATATTTCTCATGTTAAGTCATTGGAAGGAAGTCCCTATGTATTTGAGATAGCAGAAGGTCAAGTTTAGTACTGACCGCGGTCATAAAGACTTGCTTCAGCCAATCAAGGACTCTGGAATTACAATTCCAGATTTTGGACTTCTTTTCATGTCATTCCAAAACAAGACAATAAGTACAGGGTAATTTTACAAATGGAATGGAGATTCAGTACCCTGGAGGATCAACAGTGGAAAGACAGTGGTGTAGTATTATGTGTGTTGCTTCTTGGGTACATCATTTAGCACAGGTGGAACAGTTTCTGTCCATACAGGTATGGCTATTATATTAGATCTTTAATCATTATACAAGTGTATGCAAAGTTTATATATTTGAGTATTTTAAGTTACAACCTGGATGACGAAGCATTACATCAAAATGTTAAACAAGTGTATGTAAAAGTGTGTGACTCAGGAGCTTCTGCAGGAGCAGGAGTAAAGTGGATGCTGATGTCTGATTGGTCAATATTATTGTGTCCTCGTTTCTGATTGGTTGGTGTCATACAGGCATATATTTCCCCCCACCTATCATATAGAAACATTGGCATCAGATTTCGCAATATTTTTATTGGACTCTTTAAAGGGGATCATTGCTTTGATATGAAGCAGTTTGAATTTTGCGAGAGCCTCGGATTAGGTGTTTTCATGACATTCCAGGATGTTGTCATACCAGTTCTTTCTTACACGCCATGTTTTAATTAAAATTAATAGAACAACATTAATACATGTGAAGTTATGATGCAGTTGCAGTTAAAAAGAGACTTATCATTAACTATGAAGTTTTCATAACCGAGGATCTAACAATGTCAGGTACTTGTAGAGCTCGACGTATCAAAATGCACCTTTTATCATTTGTTCCTTTTATATGTATTATTTTCAGCCCAATGCCAAATTATTTACAAACCACAGGACACATACTGTAATCTGCTGAAGAAAATCTTCCAATATTCTATTCCTACAAGATTTTGATTTATACAAAATGCCATGTTGCCATGGTTACAGATGTACAGATTGGTTATTGTGGTAAAGGGCCGTGTTTATGTTGTAGCAAAATAAAGCAAACTTTTAACATCAATTGGGTCAAAGATATTTATTTTTCTTATTTTACAATAAAAATGCCTAACAAATTGTGCAAGAGTATGGCAAAAATTTAAAATAATGTATGACTCAAAATATTTAACATCTTTTTTAATGCAAGTTTATTGAAACCAAATTTCAAAGGCTCTTTTCAGGAGAATATCCTAATTTCAAACCTCATATTTATTTCTTTTCTACATTTTACCTCATTCTTTTGTTATATTGAGACAAGAAGACCCATAACACCGGCAATTACATAGGCCTGGTCGAGATACCCTTTTTGACTAGGTCTCAGCATTAAATATAATCTGGCATTTCAAGCGCTGATTAATTTATGAATTTTCTGCACTTAAACACCTCCATGGGAACTGCATCAGAAGTTATTTTTACAATTTAGGAATTGCTCTACTTGAACACCAAGCACTTTGGAATATTTCTGCCTTCCCCACAACTTGTCTGTGGAAGTAATTCTCATTCATTTCGACATGTATTTCCTTATTAATATTTGCAATATTTGTGTTCAGATAAGACAGCACATTTTACATATTCCATATGAACGCAAGCATTTAGTCTCTGGTACTCTTCGTACATGATTGGTTGTTTTTTTTCTCACTTTTTTTGTTCATATCATTTATATTTTTCTCTTTTTTCTTTTTTTTTTGGTAGCATTGCTATTTTTTGCTCAATTTTATGTTTTCTCAATGGCCCTGTTTCTCCTTGAATGTAATGAAATGTATTTATTGCATACTAGTGATAAGCATGATTTAAGTGTGAATGAACCTTGTATTATGTGATTATTGTGGGATGTGTAGTTTGACACTTACTTGGGGAGATTTTAAATGGTGAGTCTCGACACATCTCCCAGTGATATGTAATCAGCACAAGTAGTTCCAGCAGTTAACGAGAGATACATGTATTAGCAACATCGTCATGTAGTGTGTCTTGGAATAGGGATGACAAACTGATTTTCAGTGCTTTTATTTTTCTTTTAGCTTTAAATACATGTGAGGTTTCATCACCAGCCATTTCATGCTGTTCACTTATTCTATAATTTTCAAATAATTGAAAACTACTTGGTAGAGAATCAAATGTTCTTTAATACATTACACAAACCAAGGGAGATAACTGCTGGTTTGACAGATATGTGCGAGTTCAGTGTAACGAGAAACATAAAGAGCTTTATTCAGCTTAAGTATGTATCAAGGTATGAAACTCCCAAAACTTTCAGCCAGACCACAGGGCTGGTTAGATGTAAAACTTGCCAGTCCTGACCAAAACTTACCTGCCCACAAAATATCTTCTTATACATGTCTAAATTTTAACCCGACCGTCAGGCAGGTGAATATGAGAATCTGGCAGTCAGTCTTGAAAATAACCTGTCCCGGGCGGTCAGCCAGCATATGGTATTGGGGTCCAGCATTGTAATTTGTATCTATGACTTCGGTAGAATCCTGACGATTATGGGATTTTGTGGTTTAATTCTGTATCTGTGATGACAATTTTCAAGAACATATCGCTCCGTCGTTGCAGTGGCTCTTGCTGTTCTAAAGATGTCGACATTTCATGTTACAGATTTCTAGATACTGCAACAGATTGTTATCCAATGGATAATCTTCCGTACAGGGATGACGTCCGTTATCTACTCCTCTAATAGAACAACTACTAACAAATGGAACCCTTTCCACATCGCAATCTTAGCAACAAGGTTGAACTCCTCTTAATTAACATAGGCTTTGATTGTTGGTGAGCTAACATTGCTTTGTAGAACGGGTACCAATTTCAGAAACCGTTTCAGCGTTTCATGTTAAAATGTAATACTCAGAAGTTAATGGGGCGATTTAAGATATCGGGCATTTTTTTAGATCAGTTTGTCAATCTGAATGCATGTTTTGTTTAGAATAACCGAGCATCTGGATGCTTCTATTTATAGCCGAGTCCTGTAAATGTGTTGCTTGGTGTACAGACAGACAGAAATGCATGTAGTCAGAATGTGTAACTTTACAAAGTGAGAGGGCAGATATCTTCCTATTGGTAAGAGTGGAAAATGGATCCTGTGTGTAATGAAGTGAACTATTTTAGTGCTTCATATTGGAGCAAAGATATGTTGATCGTCCAGTTACTACTTTCACTATATGTTGCAGATTTTTGTGACAATTTCTGTAAATTGTTTAATGCCCCCCTTTCAAAATTTTTGATACATTCAGCTGAACTTTGTGAGCCAGATCATATTACACGTACTTCATCTCTCAGAAAGTATACTCTGTCCGTTTGGAGATTCTATAATCTTGTAATCTTTCTCTTGAATAATTGTCTCTGTTATCATCTTTACCCATATGTAATTGACCGTAGGTAACTCAAGACTATTTGGGTGTAGTATCTTTACTCCAGTTTGTTACTCAACCCCATGTGATGAATAGATCATCTCAGAAGCTTATCACTGATCCTTTGAAAAGTCTAGCAGGAATGTCCATTAAGTCATCCCAATCTTTTTATAATAATTCTAGAGCAGGGTATATCGCTTTGCTTGCTTCTATATATATCAAACACGGTGGTGTACGAAAGTTGTGAATTTTCATTCCAAAACTAGTGAGATGTATATAAGTCCTGATGTTAGAACATACCTAGCGGCAGTTGTTTGTATATGGTTCTGTTGTTGATTATATGTTTTATATGGAAGTGTACATAGCATCACTGTTAAGACCTCAGTTGTGAGGTCTGTGTGTATATGTACCAATACAGAGTAAACATGTTATGTAAAGAGATCTCGTCTTGTGTTGTTATTGCTACTCTTAGGGATTTTTTGTGGAGCAGATATTATTTTAACGCTATATGACAGGAGGGCTGGAAAGTAGGTAGTCGAAATTTTCTACCCGGGTACCCCACCCCCTATTACCCAGTTACGCGTTATGTTAATTCCTGATATCAAATTTGTAAGAAATGGCAATATATTTTTCAGCCCGGAGGTAAAAGTTGGAGTTTTTCAATATCTTAACCATGTATAATAATCAAAAGAAGTGACTGTACTTATGTCTAAATCTTCAAAGACAATACAACTTTTTAATCATGAAAGAATAACATATTACATTGTCGGAAAACCAAGTTCTATGGATAGTCAACTTCTTTATTGCAATGGGTGCGATGTTTCGGTGTAGGTACTAACACCGTTATCAAGCATTATCAATCATCACTTGCTTGATAACGGTGTTAGTACCTATACCGAAACGTCGCACCCATTGCAATAAAGAAGTTGACTATCCATAGAACTTGGTTTTCCTTCATCTATACAACTTCTACAATGCCTCTCAAAGAAGATATTACATTGTCCATTAGTCACATTATCATAAGGGGTCCGGGTATTGAGACGGGTACCCGGGTCCAGCTCATTACCCATCCATCCCAGGTATCCCGGTTACCCATCCCAGCCCTACTGGAAAGAATCAAGTTTGTTGTTAAATACTACACTCAGCACATTCCAGCTTCATGTCAACAATGGACCGCCTCCGTGGTGTGGTTAGAGCGTCCGATCCCCGACCGCGTCATATCAAAAGACGTTAAAATATGGTACTTGTTGGTCCCTGCCTGGCGCTCGGCATTAATGGGTACAACAAGGACTGGTTGGCTTGGAGTCAATATAATGTGTCTGAGTGGGGTATTCATGCTTCACTGCGGCATGGTATCTCAGTGGGCTAGCACTATAAAACCAGCTTAAGTCTGGGCTAGTACAAGCAGCCACACATGCATGCACGTCGTCATATGAGCGAAATATTCTCAAGCACGACGTTAAACCCAATTTCACCTCATCTCATGTCAACAGTGAGTAACCGTATATAATCAAGTATGGACCAGAAACTTTAGGGGTTGATGTCATGACCATTGGTCTTCTCAATTGACTGACCACCCGATCTCGTAAGTCACCTCTTATGATAAGCATGGGTGGCTGAAGACCAATTCTGACCTCGATCTCCACATACAATGTCCAATACATCCAAATCAGACAAAATCCATAATTAGAGAAATTAATTTTTTTACATAACATCTCTTGCCCCTCTGCTTATGTAAATCCCAAAATAATAAAAAGTGTGTCGTAGTTCAGTCAAAAAAGCTGCAAGCCCAGGTCTGAATTTGTTTAACTTTATGAATGACATGACAAAAAAGACACACAAATACATTATGTTTTATTCTTCGCTAAATATATTACAGTCTGCTTGAAAGCAGTCGCATTGCATATTAGTTACATAGCACATCCAACTTCCAAAAGGTACCCACGTGATTTCCGCATTCTTCCTGCATCCATTTTGTTCAGTTGAATCACCAGGTGACATTTACCACAACCACCATGCCTCTACCTAAACACATTGAAATCATGCCTTGATGACTGTACCCCCTGATCTGTACAATCCGTGTGACTGACAACAGCAGGGGTGGAAGGCCACCTATAGTCCGTTTGGGTTCAAATGAGAATGACAAATGATTAAATAACTCGAAATTGGGATAAGTGCACAAAACATAAATAAGACATATGGTCCTGAAACCTCTGTACCCAAAAGGATCTGAAATCTGATGTTTTTTTATCGATCACGGAAAAAGTTGTTAAGACAAAACGTAATATTGTGCTATTTTCACGCTTCACACCAGGGGGTGACAAACGGCTGGTGGAACAGTGCCTGACCATGCCGAGTTGCACCTGAATGTGTGCTGGTGCTGTTCCACCAGCTGCTTGTCACCCCTCTGTGTGAAGCTTGAACATAGCACAATATTACATGATGGTTTCTGAAACAATTTTTTCCACAATCAATCGTGGAATATCAGATTTCATATCCTGCTGGGTACAGAAGTTTCAGGACCATCTGTCTTATTTATGTTTTGGGCACTTATCCCTATTTCAAGATATTTAATCATTCATCGTTCTCATTTGAACCCAAACGGACTATAAAGGGCAACCATGCACATGCCAAGTTGATGTTGCTCATTGATGAACACACTATCACTACAGCAGTCCCCTGTCGTGGAAATGGACTATTCCATTGCATGAGGAAAACCTGTTCCAAAATCCAGATTCACATCAATTTTGCTTAATCAAGTCCAATGGGTTTCCAATGAACAACAAATGAAACCATACCACCATTTGTGATATATATGTACACTATTCCCACTTTGGAAACAATTCCAAAGGAATCAATAGTTCCAAATAGCAAAAAGTTCCACTTCATCACACAGGTGCAAACAAATTCAAGGTTTTATAATTACAATCCAATCACCATATTCCCTTCATTTAGAACTAGGGGACAAAAAACCTATATCCAACCATTCCAGGGTTGTTTAACTGAGAGTATATGGTACAAGATTCGTACCTAAAACATAGTTTAGGATATAATGTTCATTTTAGCTCTCCAGGGCTCCGTTTCACACAGCTATCGTAATCCTAAGATCTCGTTACTTTTCTCGTAGCATTCGTGCCTCCTATGCTGTAACATATGAAGTATGAATGCTACGAAAAAAGTTACGGGATCTTAGGCTGACGAGAGCTTTGTGAAACTGGGCCCAGGTTACAAATCCAAAAAGTAACTTTGATTGTATTTTTAGAGCTCTTTTAGCGACGCCCTCGAGGATAAAAACAGGCCAGAGCTGTATTCACCTGAGAATCTATAACACAATTAACAGCATGGTGTCTGCATAAATTTGGAATCTGGTGCAAAATTAAAATTTGATTTGAAAATTTGCTTATAACTTATTAAGAAGGAAAAATATGTGAAAAGGTTATGAGTGACACGAATTTATTTAACAATCTACGGTAAATAGAATTCACCATTTGAGGTATCAGACATCAACACACTGTCTAAGAAAGACTATCTCTAATATTAATGCATTGTTATTGTTCCTGCTATTGTGTGAATAAACAAACACTGATACCTCAGTATACAAAAGACACAGAATCAGTGATTTATGACTGTTTTCAATATAACATTATTAGTTTAATTCAGTTTAGTTAGTTGAACCGAAATAGTTAAGTTACATCAAATTGTGTCAACTCAACTTTTGAAGAATGAAAAACCATGCAGGTTAGAGACATTTTGAGTGAGTGAGTTTAGTTTTACACCCCTCTAGCAATATTCCAGCAAAATCACAGTGGGGGACACCAGAAATGGCCTTCAAACAATGTACCCATGTGGGGAATAGAACCTGGGTCTTCCGTGTAATGAGTGAACGCTTTAACCACTAGGCTACCACACCACCCCTGTCGACATTTTGAGGGTTTAACATACCAGCATAAGTACTAACACACTTCATCAGGATTAGAATGGTATTCTAAAGAAATGACAAGAAGATCCAGTCACAGGTAAGGGACACAACTAGGTAGAGCAAACTGGGCACCCTAAACCACTGGTTTACGTGTACACAAATATCTGAAGGTCATTTCCATATTATTCATATCATCTTAAAGCTTTTAATTCCACATATATTCTGAAATAAAACTTACTTATTTTTAATGTGACCTTTCTAAAATTTCATGCAAAAACCTGCTAGTTACTGCTACAAAATGGGAATGTAAATATGAACTTCTTAAGTCCTAGAGAAAAGTAAGGTCCACATATTCATGATCTAACAACCCCATCTATTCTTAACAAAATAGAGGATCATATATTCTATAAACATTTGAACACTTCTCCATCAAATATATAGTTTCAGTCGAACACATTTCCTCAAGTGTATTTCAGCTATATACAACTCGTTGAACATTTTCACAAAACCATCTGGCTACAGTCGCTGAAAGTGTTTTCAGCGAGTCATAGCAACTTAACAACTTAAACAGGTGCATTAGAGCTTCATAAAGCTATCTGAAAACAAAACAAGCACAGATTGTGTGAAGTAAGTAATACTTCAGTACTTAACCCTGATAAGTAAAACAAAAATATGAAATAGACGCAACAAGCACACATAACATCTTCAACTGCAAAATAAACTTTGAGACAAGCAATGCTTCTGTGTGGAAAATTTGAAAGCTGAAAGACATGTGTGGATGGTTATCTCTTGCCTGCTAGTGGCATCATAAATGATGCATACATGATGCATAAATAATGCATAAACTACACACTTGGCAAGAGATGTGGAGACTTCACGGACAAGAAGCAAGCTTGAACTACACCAAACTCTACTCTGTTCAGGATTAACCACAAACTTGACATAATTAACAAGTAATACTAAATATCTTTTTGCAACCAACCATCATTGTATTTCGCAAAATAATAGAAACTATACTTCTTGTTTTAAGTCTTAGACAATGCTTTTCTGAAACGTGGTTCATGTGTATATCATTCTGCAGGGCACCTTGAGACCTGCTCGACAATTCTGCAACATTTCTGCAACATATTCCAAATGTTTCTGCAGAATAAGGCCACATAAAAAAAATATTCTTCCTTCTCATCACTTTTTAAAAAGAATATGGGTTGGGAAGGCAGATTTTATTTTCACATTTTATTTTATTTCATGTCCAAAACCTCTTGATTTCTGTGGAAATCTACACCTTTTCTCCGATAGAAAATGAAAACTAAGAAGTGTGAAAAATTCATGCGTATTTTGATAGTCAAGGTTGCATTTTCTCCAGTGTATTTTTGCTATATCTTAGGGTCGGGTCAAATTTTTGGGTCGGGCGGTATTGAGAAACAAGAATATTTTAATGTATGTCCTGAGTAATATTCTAAAATGACTTTAATTTATTTCCTACTTACCAACCAGTATTTTTCACCAAGCAACTAAACAGAAAGTATTATAGGGACTTTGTGTTACTTACAACAGCAAAAGAAATATCTTAATATGTCAATGTTTTTGTCAAACTACGTAAATTCAATAAAATACACAAGGTTATGAGTACAACATGAACATTCGGTTTCAAAATATTTACCTTCATAGCACAAACGCTTAAGTTTCAAAATTTAAAGGCACTTACAGTAACAGTGTACATACTACCAGCCCAACACCAAGTAATAAAGTATCAACCTTACAACTAATAATCTATGATCAAGGTCCAAATAATTAATTATCAGTTCATTTTTATACATAGCGATGTGACAGAATTATGTCGAGACCAGTGCTTGGAGCAATCAACCGAAACAACTACTCTTTCTGAACTGTGTCATAATGGAGACACAATCTTTGAACAATACAGTGAATGTTTTGAACAGACTTAGGTTGAATGATTGGAAATGTTGTCAGGAGAATAGTATTTGTCATGGAACTGGAAATTGTCTTGCTTTATATACCATACAAGATAATAGTTTCAGAACAGTTACAAATATATGAATATTCAAACATTGGTAACATAACATGTTCTTCGTCCAATGTAATGTGCCTTATATCAACAAAGCAAGTATCTTTCATAATCTTTATTTAAATTTAAGGTGTACAAATATACTTCAGAGTGTTGGAGTCTATAACACAGCTGTTTCTTGCATGCATAAAACTTTATTGCGGCTCCCATATATCATATATAATTATACACGAAAAATATATTAATACAAATGTGCTCAATATACTAAACCAAGATGCAGACTGCTCAATCAGCACTTCAAGTACCATATTCACAGTAATTAGCACCCAGGGCCCTGTAAATAATAGCATGATTACAAATGTTTGGGTAAGACATGTAAACAGTGACTAGGCACTCATATCTTCCTTCTACTTGTTCCATTCTGATATTTTCTTTATCAAAACTAGAAAATACTGAAAGATGCTCAAAACAATTTCTAAAATTCTGATTTGAAAATTATTCAGAGGTGCTAATACAGTGAATTTGGTAACCTATAAAAGTTAAATATTCTGAAGTCATTCTCAATGGCTTCCAAATGTTTTATTAAGACAATTTCTTTTCTTAAATATGCTTGTATTCAATACAAGGACTACAATCATGTCACGCATTTGAAAAGGAATCTAACAAATTTTGTTCAGTAGGCACACAAAAAGAGATCATATGCATAACACAAAACCGTGGCTAGTTAGCATTGGCAATCTGATGTAGTCTTCACAGCAGATATTTCCATTAATCCCACAAAACTCCTCTCTCATTCTGACAGATAAAATAATTTATTACAGGCTGAGGGTGGCTTGGGAAACTGAAACGTAATTGTTGAAACATTTACGATTTTCTGGTTCTCTTAATGTACATCAATTTATATGAGACTTTATGGACAATAAGAATGGAACTAGCACCAGCATCAAGACCGAAATTATTACAGCACTGGGAACAGTCGTGCATCTGACTGTGGTCCATGTAAAACACATACAAGCAGGGTCAGTGGCTGCGAATATATACAGGGAGGGTGCACAGAGGTTAATCCTGAGAAATAGGTTATGGTGCTTTCATAATATGTCTTGAGAGACGTCATTCATTGATGTCCTCTCATCCTACTGACATCGATCATCAAGCTAATCACACCAATTCACATTTAATTGGCAACTTTCTAACCATTTTGCTAATAATGTCAGCCCCTAACAGAAAATATTGTAGTCTTCTACAAATGTCAATGCTGCAAATTGTCATGAGAACAGAAAGATGATATAATAGTCATAACCTTTATGGTTCAACAGACACTTCCTAAACCGGGACAAGTTTACAATAGTCTCAAGTCCTCTACTTAACGACAGAAACTCAATGCTTCAAAAAAGAAACTGACAATAGTCGTAACTCAGTGCTTTAAAACAACTCTAATGATTCAACAAACCTACCATGGTCATATTTCCAACACTATGATAGTCAGAAGGCCAATGCTTCAACACTGAAATACAACAATCGGAACCATGGTCTAAAACAGACTGGTGATCTTTGTAATTTCCATAAGACTTACAATTCGTAACCTCAATAAGACTTACGATAGTCAGAATTCCAATGCTTCACCAAACCTCCAACAGTCGTACCTCAATGCTTCAACACTGACATACAACAATCGGAACTATGGTCTAAAACAGACAAGAGATGTTTGTAACCTCAATAAGACTTACGATAGTCAGAGGGTCAATGCTTCACCAAACCTCCAACAGTCGTACCTCAATGCTTCACCATTGACACACAACAATCAGAACTAAGGTTCAACATAGATGTAAGCTACATATTATTCCTGAAAATGTCTGGCAAATTGTACATATGGTAAACACTGACTGAAAATGCCCAACAGATTGAAGATTTTCTACAACAACAGGTATCATTAGCCTGAGGAACGTCTCGAACTTACACACAAGAATATTCGGGAAGCGTGGGAACAGTCAACCACAGAATAGACACACACAGAAAGCAACAAAAATTCAATCAAAATAATTATATAATTATGAAATTATGATAATTGGTGTTATGTTAATGGAAAATACTGGTGAGAAAATTGCTAATTGATGTAAAGGGGTAGACAGCTTAGAGTGTGATGTCCTTCAAAACGTGACGGTCCACTGCTTGATGTTGGAGTCTTGCCCCACCGTCACTAAGTTGTTGTTGTCTAGCCACCGAATCTTGTTAGCAAAGCTCTTCTGATGGGCATCTGGGGGGACGAAATTGCAAGTGAGATAGTGTGGTTTTATAACTGGTTTAGAATATGACACAAATAGTGTACATACAAACGTGGGGATGCCATAAGTGGGCACATTGTACCACTTGTGGAATCAAAACCAAGACTTTAGCTTGACAATCAAACACTTTAACTACTAGCAGTGTATGAAATAAGCCAAAAACCCAGTCAGACATCAGGGCTACTAACATTTTGAATCGTACGAGCTGTGCGTGGAGTTTACGAAACTCTGATGCATAGATAGGTGTCACCTTTTGGCAATATTGATATGTACACAGAGTGCTTTGAGTTTGCAGAACTCCGCGCATCGATAGGTGTCGCTGTTTTAGTGATAATACACTTAGACATTATGTCAGAAATCTAGCCAGTCTTGGGCGATTGGACGTGCCTTATTTCATACACTGCTACGAGGCTTCCCCATCTACACAGTGTACCGTTTGTGGAATCGAACCCAAGCCTTTGGCATGACAAACAAATGCTATAACTACTATGCTATCAGTACTGAATACTACTGCTATGATATACCAACAATTACAGAACAAAACAGTTTCTATGTCCTAAGTCAGATTCCTAGCCTATGGAAGTGAGTGAGTGAGTATGGGTTTATGCCACTCTAAGCAATATTCCAGCAATATCAGGGCAGGGGACACCAGAAATGGACTTCACACTTAGTAGCCATGTGGGGAATCACAAGTCTTCAGCGTGGCAAGCGGACGCTTTAACCATAAGGCTAACCCACTAGCCCCCCTAGCCTACGTTATAACCATAGTAACATACCTTTAACTGTTGCTACTCTATTCTGCAGTGATTTCTCCGGGATCCAAATGGCAATGCTGCTGTCGATGGAGCAGGTAGCAATGTGGCTTCCGTCAGGTGACCAGGCTACGTCGTTAACACGGGCAGCATGGGCCACTGAGTCAATCAGTTCCTACAAAAAAAATTATAATTAAATTTAGAAAAAGTTCATGAAATGAAAGTGACTGTCATTCAATCACAATCAATCTAGTCATCAGAGTCACAATTAAAGCCAGTTCCTCAGAAGCCAGTTCCTTTGTTTCATTTCCAGACCTGATTTTTCAAGCAAAGTTCAGCTAACTCACAAGCCTGGGACACTGACACTTACTTCCTGTTCATGTGGCCTACATACTGTCTTCATACAGTCATCCCTAGCAATAACGCTCTTCACGATACCACGGATTCGGTCATACCGCAGGGTAATCCGTGGCTCTCATAAAAAAAAAGTTGCCCAGTGATCACAAATCTTCACGCTGTTGAGCTCTGGTTAATCACGTTGTAAACTAGTGACATTCAGTGTGGATTGCAATTAACACTGTTTATCGTACTTATCCATGGCTTTTCAGATGCTTAAAACAAGCAGAGTTTTCTCAATAGTAATCAGACGAACAGCGGAACATCGTAATAACTTACAAAAGACAACTTTATCATAAAGACATGCCATAAGCCGAGTACTTACAATGTTTGCAGGTAAACACTGCCATCCGACAATGTATGATGTCAGAAAACACTTTATATTTGATTAAATTCAATCCTATTCATTAAAACTGTTTACAGTAACAACGGAGAAACCGCGAGTGAAATGGCATTACCTCATTCCATACAACTTCCGCTTACCACATTTTGTGAGGGTCTGTTTTTCGCACCTACCGTGATAGCACCAATTTCACATTATTCTCAGCTATCACAAACAGATTACAGCCTCGTCATCCATGGACCCCAAGACCCGCGTTATTGACTCATTTCAGTCATATTTGACAAATAATTGCCAACATTTTGTTTTCACAATCAAAGTGGCACGTACCGCTGGAAGTCAGCGGTGACTTGTCAAACTGTCTCCTACGTAAAATGTATCCAGCCAGGTAACCCAAAGTGCTTAGACTATGTTTATTATTATGTTACATATGTTCGTAGAAAACATGCATTATACTAATACCATAGCGATATATAATATCTCTGTTAAAATAACTGCTCAAGATGCAAATTATTCTGATAATGGAATAGAAATTTTTTAATGTTATGTTATTGGATCGTTTTTAACTGAATCACCGGTACATTGGACCAAAACATCTATGCACTGCTGGTTGCTATGTCCAGTTTAGTTGAATAACAGGTAGCATGACAGGAACAACAATTGAATTATCATGTCTTGTGATGTTTGATTGCAAGTTTCCTGTACTTACATCTATTTTCATTTACAAAGTTTGTTTTTTCACCTTCAACGATACGATATAGTTTTGACTCAGCACAATACGTGAATAGCAGTTTTGTTTTGTCCATGGAAAATACGATTTTACTTGGCCTTTGTTTCGCATTATGTAATAGTTACTATAACATGGGTGTCTAATAACGCGGGGGGTCATCCATGGACCCAAAGACCCGCGTTATGGCGAAGGGATGACTGTCTAGCTCAGTTACATCTCTACAGTTAAGTAAAGTGTTCAAAGAATAGAGAGTGAGTGAGTTTAGTGTTACGCTGCTTGTAGGAATATTCCAGCAATAGCACGGTGGGTGACACCAGAAATGGGCTTCGCACATCGTACTCATGTGTGGAATCAAACCCAGATCTTTGGTGTGACTAGTGAATGCCTTAACCACTAGGCTGCCCCACTGCACCCTTTCAAAGAATAAGCAATAAGATTATTTCTGGATAAGACAACAGTGAGTGAGTTTAGTTTTACGCCGCTTTTAGCAATATTCCATTCCAGGAATATCATGGCAGGGGACACCAGAAATGGGCTTCAAACATTGTATCCATGTGAGGAATCAAACCTGGGTCTTTGGCTTGACAACAGGCCAATGCTTTAACCGCTAGGCTACCCACCGCCCAGGATTAAATAACAGAGTTTGACATCTTGAACATATTAACATAAACTAGGTGCAAGTTTATATAATATGAGTCTATGACATTGCTTTTTGAAGTTTGAGGCTGTTGGCTTTGCTTGCAATGGCGCTCAAAGATGAAGTAAGAGTGAGTGAGTATAGTTTTATGCCACACTCGGTAATATTTCAGCTACATACCGTAAATAATCGAGTATGGACCAGACAATCCAGCGATCAACAGCATGAGCATCGATCTACATAACTGGGATACGATGACATGTGTCAACCAAGTCAGCAAGCCTGACCACCCGATCCCATTAGTAGCCTCTTATGACAAGACCAATTCTGACCCGGATCTTCACAGGTTCATTGATGAACCCAGCAGAAAATGGTACCCGGTTGGATAAAGTCATGTGACTATAACCTTCTAGTGCCTAACAGGCAGCTTGGGATATTGGGGGTAATAAGAATCAGATTCTGATTAAGCGCCGCGAGCAATCACTTGGTGTTTGGAAACGTGCGCTATAGAAGATGACTTATTATTATTATTATTATTATTATTGATGAAGAATTACCTCAATAAGACTCACCTCATAGCTTCCAGTGCTGTACGCCTGGAGTTTCTTGTTGGACCCAACAACGGCAAGGGTGCTGCCATCTGGTGAGTACCGGACACTATACACTGTATTTTCAGGAATGGAGATCTGCTTTATCTCAGACAAAGCACCATTACTGAGTTCATACACTACAAACACATTACTCTGAAATTAAAAAAAAAGGCAAGTAAACGAATAATGGTTTACTCCTGTCGAAGCAATATTCAAGCAATATCACAGTGGGGTACACCAAAATTGGGCTTCACATATTGTGCCCCTGGGCGGAATCGAACCCAGGTCATCAACGCAACAAATGCTTTAACCACTAGGCTAGCCCAAAGTAAAATGCAGTAAGTTGTTTATAGACATTTCAATTTTTTAAATTTTTAGTTGTACTCAGGACACTTTATGTTCATTCTTCCATGCTTTCACGTTAACTTTCACTAGTTCATCTCATCTGAGTGAGTGAGTGAGTTGGGGTTTTATGCCGCTTTCATTCCAGCAATATCACGGCATGGGACACCAGAAATTCGGGGATGGAATGGGTGATGGGCATGAGATTGGTAAGAGATGTATCGGATGGAGGGTGAGGGGTGAGGATCAGGGTGTGGCATGGGTGGGGCTGAGGGTAATGGGATGGAATGGTGGTGCTTTGAGAATGACGCTGTGACCTACCCCTCCAACTGCTACTTGAGTCAAGCCAGGATGTATGTCGACACACTGTGGATCAAACTTCACAGGAACTGTTGACAGCACGTGGTTATCCGACACCACGATCAACTACAACACAGACAATCAGGTTGTCAGAGTCAGTGAGTGAGTGAGTAAGTAAGGTTTTACGCCAGCAATATTCCAGCAACATCACCATGGCAGTCAAGTAAACTTAGGCTCATTATTTTTCGCTACACTGCTATACTGAGTCTTAACAAGCAGTAGTAGAAGGTTGTGTCAGATAACGTTTTGAATTGACCAATCAGAACACAGCTTACCAAATCGTGAAAGTTAACATTCGCACATACCGTTTGAACTTTTACCTCGAAAACTCGAACAATTAAGAATGCTATTTTCTGCACGATTGATTCCGAGTGATACACATGGAGATGCCATTATTCACAACAGTGAGTAAACAGTCGCTGAAAATAGCGTTTTTGTCAATATTTCAGGATGTCATCTTGCGGAAATATAAGCTAATGGTAACCATGTCATCAGAAACCCCTAAGCGTATATACTGAAGGTCAAATATCTGTGTTTTAGGTGGATTACATTTGTTGAGAGATCAGTGTCACCGACTGTTAAAGTGAAAATCAAAAAAACATTTTGTAAGTTCTGCCGAACATTAAATAGTATCCGTTGTCTGATTGGTTAAATCCATTCGGCAGTCTCACGTTTGATTGGACGGTCACTCAAAGGTTAGCTGACATGACCTTCTACTAGGTTTTGTTAGACTCAGTATAGCATTGTAATAACACTGAGCCTAAGTTTACATGGACTGATCACGGCGAAGGACACCAGAAATGGCCTTCACACATTGTACCACTGAGGAGTCCTTGGGTGAGTGACCGTGTTTGGCAGCTTGACTCATGAGAGTTTCTAGGACTTTAGTCCTACCGACAACGAAACACATGTGATACATGTGGTTTCACCTTAGGCAAATGAGTATGTTCAAAATTGCCTCTGTTCACCCAGCAGAAAATGGGTACCTGGTGGGATAAGTCGTGAAACTATAAACCTTCAAGCTCTGAAACAGGCAGCTTGGGTTATCCGGGGTAATAATGATCAGATTGTGTGCTTTGAGCAGGATATCTGGCCTGTAAAAGGCGCGTTATGAATATTCTTATTATTATTACTATAATCCTAACCTAAACTTTTGTATATGTCCTTCTTGTTTTGAATCACAAGAAATGACTTGATGTATACTCACATGCTTGACGCAAGCTACTACAGAAATGTCTCCTTTCTTGCTCACACCTTTCGGCTGGGAGGCGAGCTTGGTACTGTTCAAACTGAAACAAGAATCCAAGGTCTCAATGTTCGTATTTCCAGTTTACCATGTTCAGACAAATGTTTTATAACATAGTCTGAGTCGGTTACATCATGTTGGACAAAGGCATATTATCACATACATTGTCAGGGAGGTCTGGGACTGTTACACCATGTTGGACAAGAGGCATATTATCACATACATTGTCAGGGAAGTCTGAGACTGTTACATCATGTTGGACAAAGGCATATTATCACATACATTGTCAGGGAGGTCTGGGACTGTTACATCGTGTTGGACAGAGGCATATTATCACATACATTGTCAGGGAAGTCTGGGACTGTTACATCATGTTGGACAAAGGCAAGTTATCACATACATTGTCAGGGAGGTCTGGGACTGTTACACCATGTTGGACAAAGGCATAGTATCACATACATTGTCAGGGAGGTCTGAGACTGTTACATCATGTTGGACAAAGGCATGTTATCACATACATTGTCAGGGAAGTCTGGGACTGTTACATCATGTTGGACAAAGGCATATTATCACATACATTGTCAGGGAGGTCTGAGACTGTTACATCATGTTGGACAAAGGCATGTTATCACATACATTGTCAGGGAAGTCTGGGACTGTTACATCATGTTGGACAAAGGCAAGTTATCACATACATTGTCAGGGAAGGTCTGGGACTGTTACACCATGTTGGACAAAGGCATAGTATCACATACATTGTCAGGGAGGTCTGAGACTGTTACACCATGTTGGACAAAGGCATATTATCACATACATTGTCAGGGAAGTCTGGGACTGTTACATCATGTTGGACAAAGGCATGTTATCACATACATTGTCAGGGAGGTCTGAGACTGTTACATCATGTTGGACAAAGGCATGTTATCACATACATTGTCAGGGAGGTCTGGGACTGTTACATCATGTTGGACAAAGGCATGTTATCACATACATTGTCAGGGAAGTCTGGGACTGTTACATCATGTTGGACAAAGGCATGTTATCACATACATTGTCAGGGAAGTCTGGGACTGTTACACCATGTTGGACAAAGGCATGTTATCACATACATAGTCAGGGAGGTCTGGGAATGTTACATCATGTTGGACAAAGGCATGTTATCACATACATTGTCAGGGAAGTCTGGGACTGTTACATCATGTTGGACAAAGGCAAGTTATCACATACATTGTCAGGGAAGTCTGGGACTGTTACACCATGTTGGACAAAGGCATGTTATCACATATATAGTCAGGGAGGTCTGGGACTGTTACACCATGTTGGACAAAGGCATGTTATCACATACATTGTCAGGGGAAGTCTGGGACTGTTACATCATGTTGGACAAAGGCAAGTTATCACATACATTGTCAGGAAGTCTGGGACTGTTACATCATGTTGGACAAAGGCATGTTATCACATACATTGTCAGGGAGGTCTGGGACTGTTACATCATGTTGGACAAAGGCATGTTATCACATACATTGTCAGGGAAGTCTGGGACTGTTACATCATGTTGGACAAAGGCATGTTATCACATACATTGTCAGGGAAGTCTGGGACTGTTACATCATGTTGGACAAAGGCATGTTATCACATACATTGTCAGGGAAGTCTGGGACTGTTACATCATGTTGGACAAAGGCATGTTATCACATACATTGTCAGGGGAGGTCTGGGACTGTTACATCATGTTGGACATACAAGGCAGGGAGGTCTGGGACTGTTACATCATGTTGGACAAAGGCATGTTATCACATACATTGTCAGGGAGGTCTGGGACTGTTACATCATGTTGGACAAAGGCATATTATCACATACATTGTCAGGGAGGTCTGGGACTGTTACATCATGTTGGACAAAGGCATATTATCACATACATTGTCAGGGAAGTCTGGGACTGTTACATCATGTTGGACAAAGGCAAGTTATCACATACATTGTCAGGGAAGTCTGGGACTGTTACATCATGTTGGACAAAGGCATGTTATCACATACATTGTCAGGGAGGTCTGGGACTGTTACACCATGTTGGACAAAGGCATATTATCACATACATTGTCAGGGAGGTCTGGGACTGTTACATCATGTTGGACAAAGGCATAGTATCACATACATTGTCAGGTACAGTCTGGGACTGTTACATCATGTTGGACAAAGGCATGTTATCACATACATTGTCAGGGAGGTCTGGGACTGTTACATCATGTTGGACAAAGGCATGTCATCACATACATTGTCAGGGAAGTCTGGGACTGTTACATCATGTTGGACAAAGGCAAGTTATCACATACATTGTCAGGGAAGTCTGGGACTGTTACATCATGTTGGACAAAGGCATGTTATCACATACATTGTCAGGGAGGTCTGGGACTGTTACACCATGTTGGACAAAGGCATAGTATCACATACATTGTCAGGGAGGTCTGGGACTGTTACATCATGTTGGACAAAGGCATAGTATCACATACATTGTCAGGGAGGTCTGACACGGTTACATCGTGTTGGACAAAGGCATGTTATCACATACATTGTCAGGGAAGTCTGGGACTGTTACATCATGTTGGACAAAGACATAGTATCACTTACATTGTCAGGGAGGTCTGGGACTGTTACACCATGTTGGACAAAGGCATAGTATCACATACATTGTCAGAGAAGTAATATACAGTACATATTTCCCTTGAATTTAATGGTCAGTATTCAGTTTCTACCTGAGAAGAGAAACTTACCTATATTCATTACTAACTGCACTGGTCACCCTCAGTGTGTCGTCAAAGCCAATAGATACAAATGAGTCCCCACCCATTGACATGTCTTGCACCTGAGACGAATGACCTTTACCTTGGACTTCATCTGACACTCCAGAAGCCACATCCCAGTAATGTATTCTAGTTAAGGAAACTCTCATGACTCTTCCCTATAACTTCATCACTCATTTCACCATCTCTTGACCAAGAAACTATACTTAAGTTTGTTTTCTAATGCAGCTCTAAACAATATTCCAGCAATATATCCATGAGTTGAGTATTACGCCGCACTCAGCAATATTCCAGCTATATGGTGGCGGTCTGTAAATAATCAAGTCTGCACCACACAATCCGGTGATCAACAGCATGAGCATCGATCTGCGTAATTGGGAACCGATGACGTGTCAACCAAGTCAGTGAGCCTGACCACCCGATCCCGTTAGTTGCCTCTTACGACAAGCATGGGTTACTGAAGATCAATATTCTAACCCGGATCTTCACGGGTTTTATAAATCCGTAAATAATCAAGTACAGATAAGTCAATCCAGTGATTGAAGTCATGTGGCATCGATCAACCAAGTCAGCGAGCCTGACCACCCGATCCCGTTAGTCGCCTCTTACTACAAACATGGGTTGATGAAGAACCAGGATCTGTTCTAACCAAGATCCCGGGACGGTGGGGTGGCCCAGTGGTAAAACATTCACCCAGGTTCGATTCCCCACATGGGTACAATGTGTGAAAACCCATTTTCCTGCCGTGATATTACGGGAATATTGCTAAAAGCGACATAAAACTGAACTCATTCACTCTAACCAGGCTCCTCACAGGTGGAAACCAGGCTCCTCACAGGTGGGAACCAGGCTCCTCACAGGTGGAAACCAGGCTCCTCACAGGTGGGAAGTGTATTTGCATTGTAGCTCATCCGGATTTATAAAAACGTGTTGTAATTGAAAGGATATTTATGGCTGCCTCACTAGTTCCTGTGTAGACCCTTGAGCCATCTTCTGTGACTGCAAGCGCTGTGATTGGCTTGTTGTGGCCCTGAAATGTTTAATAACAACTTTACATCAGAGAGCTGAGTGGCTTTGTATATCTGTTATAGCCTGTGTAGCTTATAGGGAGGTTTGCGAATTGATAATTCGGAGGCTGGTCAAGTTTTCACCGATACGATTCTCAGGCGTTTTGTGGGGAAGTTTTCACCTATACAATTCGGAGGCTGGTTGTGGGAAAGTTTTCACCTATACAATTCTCAGGCGTTTTGTGAAGAAGTTTTCACCTATACAATTCGGAGGGCATTTGTGGGAAGTTTTCACCTATACAATTCGGAGGCTGGTTGTGGGAAAGTTTTCACCTATACGATTCTAAGGCTGGTTGTGGGAAAGTATTCACCTACCGTATATGACCGTCTATAAGCCGACCCCATGGATAAGCCGACCCCCAAACTTGACCCTCAAAATCAGTGTCAAAATCATATCTCTCATGGATAGGCTGCCCCCCCGCGATGGGTCGCGGCCAACAGAGACCAGAGTACCCGGTAAGTATGTTCCATCAACGACGAGACACCATTACGAGAATATTACATAATAAAGATTACCGGTGTTTGTTTACCTTTTTTTAACGATCACTGCTTGCATCAACAACGAGACGCCATTTGGAAAGTGGATATACAGCGTAAGTGTTGGTGAGAATATTACATAATAAAGATTACCGGTGTATTGTGGCAACATGTGTTTGTGTTCCTTTTTATATCCCGACGATCACTGCTTGCATCAACAACGAGACGCCATTTTGTGAAATTTTGAGAAAAAGTACCATCGGTAAATAAAAACTGAAGTCAACTTTTGTTTCAAAATATATTATTTAAGTGTCCATATTTCATCTATATATATATGACAATAAGAAAAATAGTCCACTAACAATAAACACATGCGACAAACTCATCCCACAGACAACTGGCAGTTACCAATAATTATAACTTTGGTCCACATTATTCAAAGAATTCACTGTCATATATATTGTGTCTACTCACGGATCGAAACGAAGTGTAGTTGACAGAAAATGCATAATATATTTTGCTTCTCTAAATATAATATTTATTGTAGCAACAAACTGGCTTGCTTATTTTACCCCATTCAACAATCACAAACTGATTACCGCCTCGTTCCATGTCACGTGCTTACCACGTTCATGATGGTCCGTATAACCTTAGTGTTGATTATATATTTTTTACATAAAAACTATTACACAATGCTAGGATATATTTCTTTTGGTTAAATAATAGTATTCAATCAATAGAATTCATCCCGTTATATTATTGTGCATGTTTGAACTTGTTCACCGGGAAACGTGTGCACAGCTGATTGCTATTTCCGGCTTTGTGTACGAGACAAATATGCACGGTAATCTTAATTAATTTATAGAGCAAAAACTGTAACTAAAGTTACACAATGCTAGGATATATTTCTTTCGGTTAAATAACGGTATTCTGTATTATATTTTACTGATGACTGCGTCAGAACCCGTTATGTTATTGTGCATGTTTGAACTTGTTCGCCGGAAACGTGTGCACAGCTGATTGCTATTTCCGGTTTTGTGTACGAGACAAATACGCACGGTAATCTTAATCCCTGCAAATAAAACAATGCCCAGCAAAAACAACTTATAACTTAAATGGTAATTAATCTTGTCTAGTGATGTTTAATTGCAAATTTGACGTCTCTACTGACAAAGTCGTCTTCTGTTGTTTGTTCACGCGAAGTGATACGATGTTGTTTTCTTACCCCTGGAAAAAAGTTTGACGAAAGCTTAACCCATGGATAAGACAACCCCTTCTACAGACTGCTTTTTTTGGTCCTCAAAATTCGGCTTATAGACGGTCATATACGGTATACAATTCGGAGGGCATTTGTGGGGAAGTTTTCACCTATAATTCTGAGGCTGGTTGTGGGGACGTTTGACAATTTGAAAAAGGGTTGCAGGGTGATATTTACCTTGATAATTTGAAGGGATTGTGGGGTGGTTCTCCTGTTGAAACTTAGATGGGGATTCAGATTGGGTGCTATTTTCTCGGGGTCTCTACTGGGTCTGGAATCCCTGGAGAGCTTGGTATAACTCTCGAAGGGTCTTCAAACATGTTTCATAATAATTGAAAAGGGTTTGTGGGGTGGTTTTCACCTTGACAATTTGGGGGAGGTTGAAGGTGGTTTTCACCTTGATAAGTCAGGAGGGTGATGGTGGGGTGTTTTCATAATGACAATCTGGGGTTGCAGATGGTTTTCACCTAGATAATTCAAAGGGGAGCTGTGGGGTGGTGAGGTGAGGTGAAATTGGGTTTAACGTCGTGCTTGAGAATATTTCGCTCATATTACGACATGCATGCATGCATGTGTATGTGTATGTGCGGCTGCTTGTACTAGCCCAGACTGAAGCTGGTTTTATAGTGCTAGCCCACTGAGATATCATGCCGCAGTGAAGCATGAATACCCCACTCAGACACATTATACTGACTCTGAGCTGAGCAGTCCTTGTTGTACCCATTAATGCCGAGAGCCAGGCAGGGACCAACAAGTACCATATTTTAATGTCTTTTGGTATGACGCAGTCGGGGATTGAACCTCCGACCTTCCACTCTCCGGGCGGACGCTCTAATCACTACACCACAGAGGCGATCCTGTGGGGTGGTTCTGAACTTGACAACTGAAAGGAGCTGTGGGGTGGTTCTCACCTTGACAACTGAAGGGGAGCTGAAGAGTGGTTCTCATCTGACAATTGAAGGGACTTGTGGGGTGGTTCTCACCTTGACAATTGAAGGGGGGTTGTGGGCTGGTTCTCACCTTGACAATTGAAGGGGGTTGTGGGATGGTTCTCACCTTGACAATTGAAGGGAGTTGTGGGGTGGTTCTCACCTTGACAATTGAAGGGGGTTGTGGGGTGGTTCTCACCTTGACAATTGAAGTGGACCTTGTGGGGTGGGTTCTCACCTTGACAATTGAAGGGGGTTGTGGGGTGGTTCTCACCTTGACAATTGAAGGGGTTGTGGGGTGGTTCTCACCTTGACAATTGAAGGGAGTTGTGGGCTGGTTCTCACCTTGACAATTGAAGGGAGTTGTGGGGTGGTTCTCACCTTGACAATTGAAGGGGGTTGTGGGGTGGTTCTCACCTTGACAATTAAAGGGGAGTTGTGGGCTGGTTCTCACCTTGACAATTGAAGGGAGTTGTGGGGTGGTTCTCACCTTGACAATTAAAGGGGGGTTTGTGGGGTGGTTCTCACCTTGACAATTGAAGGGTTTGTAGGGTGGTTCTCACCTTGACAATTCGACTTGGAGCTGTAGGGTTGTCCTTGTCCAGGTAGTTGATGTGTCCAGACAAGGAAACAGTCAGAATATAATCCCCCTGCCACAGGCAGCCCACCTGCATGTCCTGGATCCCACTTCCCATGGTGAACTCACTGATAAAACATCAACAGATAAGACTCATCACTCTACACAATGAATTCAGGTATGAACAGATGCCTGATTACAAAATTCACCAACACTATATCTTAAAGATGAGTTTCCCGAACCTAGAATTAAGGGGGTATAAAGTGAGAATGTCGAAGGGAACTGACATTTGACAGCCAGTCTGCCACGATGTTATTTTATCAGAAATTACATTCCAAGAATCATAATTATAGCAAAACATACAGCAACTGCAATCTGATTACCTTGTTCCTACTATATATATTTTTAATGAGTTAAATGAGCCTCCCCTCAATCTATACTAGCCACAAAAAGAAACAGTGCATTCGGCCAGACATCACGGCTGGTAACTTCAAAATGTTACCAGCCCAAAATAGATTTAACCAGACCAGACAATCCAAAGAATATAACTAAATTTTTAGTTACAATGAATAATTTAATGAACCTGAGATGTGCAGTTACTGTCTAACAGTCTATTCACAACATTTTCAGAAAAATCCCGACTCAGCACATCAATAGGTGTGGTTGTATTAGTGATAATATATGTCAACACAGTGCTTTGAGCTTGCAATACGATAGTTCAATGTTCAAACGGTAATTGTCAAGTCTAACTGTAACGCTCAATTTGAAAAAATAGATTTTAAGATATAGTGAATTTACTCAGATATATGGAACATGCTATTTAAATTTTTACCAGACCATCAGGCTGGCTAGCTGTAAATTTACACCGTTCGTCACAAATCTAGCCCATCTCGGGCGGTCAGATGGGCCTTATTTCACACACTAGTGCATTGTTAAAATTTCCTCTGAGTTTGAAAATATAACAACAATTTCCAATCCTTCACTCACGTGACAAGCTGCCTAGAGGCAACATCCCATATCTTCGCTGTTTTGTCGCCAGACACAGTCAGCACTTGACTTCCATCTGAGTTAAAGTCAAGCTGAAAAAAGATGACAGCAACCTTGACATCTTCCCAATGCAAGGGACAGGGTTCGTACAGATTATCAGCCATCAAATTGAAGGCATATTTAAATGCTGTTCAAGGCACAATCCAATATTAAGGATTTATAGTGAGTGAGTTTAGTTTTACGCCACTTTTAGCAATATTCCAGCTATATCACGGCGGGTGACACCAGAAATAGGCTTCACATATTGTACCCATGTGGGAATCGAACCTGGGTCTTCGGCACGAACGAACGCTTTAACCACTACGCTACCCCCGCCCCTAAGGATTTATAGAAATAACAAGATAATGACACATAAGTAGTTGGTCAAATGTGGGAGTGACCACTACAGAGAAATAACTCTTAGCTTAATTGCTGCACTCGGAAAGTTTTGCCTCGCGATGGAGATAAATCAACACCCAATGTCATTGGAAGGTTTTTTCATTATGCATTAGTTCCTGTAAAACTTGACAAGTTTTGCTAAAAATAGGGCCTCCTTAAAGCAAATCACTGGCAATTAGGGAATTCAAGGTTAAAATGAATTGAGGGCCTTTTAGGGTAAAACATCCAAATTTCATGATTCTTCAAGCCTGTGTGAACCTCGAGGGAGTGAACTGACTACTGAAGTCCAGTTTCCACCCTTGCCTAGCTTGGATGCAATTATGGAGCTCTATTTTGATTGAATAACAAAATTAACATGGCGAACATCAGGGCAGGTCTCAGTCGATCGCAGGATTTGCACTGCATGTGATAGTTTAACCCTGCATTGACAGATTTGTTTAAATAACTTTTTTAATCAAGGTGTACAAGTGATCTTATGCACTCCATACATCTCACACAATCAGTGACTGATATTATGAGCAAAGACCTAGGCTGTGTGACACCTCATCCACTCTGTTATCTCACACAATCAGTGACTGATATTATGAGCAAAGACCTAGGCTTTGTAACAAAACCTCATTCATGGTGTTATCTCAGCCAGCAAATGTTGGTCTGGACAACTGGTAGGGGTGGGTATTGCCGAAAATTTTCATATTGCAATATATTGCAAGAATTCTTTTTAAAAAAAATATACTTATAATCGAGTTAATGCTTGATTTACAAAGCAAAAACACAACAAAATCACTATGCTTGATTAGGCTTTAATAAAACCTTTAAATCATGACAAAATAAAAATGCAAATAATGTTTGGAACAAATGAAACAAGGAAAGGAACAAATTAAAAAAACGGAAATATCCAAAGATTTCCGAAGTTTTCCGAATGCATGTCAAAATACGAGTTTTCGATCAGCGTATCGCAATACGTATCGTTCTCAAGCCTAAACCGGTTATACTGCGCAGCCCTAACAACTGGAACATGTTGCTCACCGCATAGATGCCTCCTTTATGAGCAGGTGCTCCCAGCTCACCAAAAATACACCATAATTAAATTTCATCTGAACAGTCTTGTTTTCTTGACGAATGCATGTCCAAAAACACAACAGCCTGGAAAACAGAACCATTCCATCAAGTCAAAGCCTTATCTGAGCAGCCCTAACAACTGGAAATGTTGCTCATAGATGCCTCCTTTATGAGCAGGTGCTCCCAGCTCACCAATTTCATCTGCAGTCTTGCCGTCAAACACAACAGCCTGGAAAACAGAACCATTCCATCAAGTCAAAGTCAAGTCCAAAACAAAATTCAAGGTCATCAAAGGGACAGTTCACCACAAGTGATCTGTTTGAGGAGATGTAATAAAATAATTTATCAATTCAGAACAATTCTTGACATGAGTATTTTCAGTAAAAATCATGAAAACGAACAAAAAATCCAAAATAATAATACTTAAATCCCAAAATGGTAAATTTCACAACTAGAATTATCCGTATTGTAAGTTTCTGTAAACTTATTTCCCCTTCCATGTTTTAAGACAAAACAGGGCTTCAGCTTTTGACCTGTTGTTTGGTACGATTTGATCTCAAGAGACTCAACCGCCATTTGTAGCCTTGGTAACATTTAATCAAGCAAAGCAACACGTCTAAGATGATTAACAATGTGTATATATTGAATAGAAGTGAAAAGCATTCTCATTTCAGTGTTAAGTCATTCTCAGGCATGAAATACTCAATTAACTCAACATATCTGAAAGCATACAGTCATGCTCAACAATGAAAGTAATGAGAGTTACCGGCCTAGTATGATTTGGTTGGTTGGTTGGTTGGTTGGTTGGTATTTAATGCCGCACCCAGGAATATTCCAGCTATATGACGGCAGTCTAAATAATCGCATCTGGACCAGACAATCCAGTGATCAACAGCATGAGCATTGATCTACGCAACTGGGATTCGATGACATGTATCAACCAAGTCAGCAAGTCTGACCACCCGATCCCGTTAGTTGCCTCTTATGATAAGGACTGTGAGGGATTTACCTTGAGTCCTGTATGTGAGGGTCCCTGGGACTCATACTCTTAATTTTCTGGGGTCCTGGACTAAAAAATTGGGGTCCCAGACACTTAAATATTATTATTAACACTATGTTGCAATATGGTTGTAATTCAGTTACTGTTATTGTATTGTGTATCATGATCATCACACCAGAAATGGGTTACACACCTTGTCCCATGTGGGGAATCAAACTTGGACTCTTGGCATGACGAGCAAATGCTGAAGCACTAGGTTACCCAAACACCCCGACTCCAGTGATTGTCATCATGGGGACAATACTATTTAGATATTGTTTTGGTTGTATATTAGACAGTTCCGTATGCGGGCTATTGATATGTTTAAGCAGGAATGGAATTCATTTATTAATGAAAGTTCGAGATTTGATTCATGTTGTCAATTTCAGTCGCTGCTTGAGCCAGAGTCTTATCTTGTTCACCTTCGCTACAGAAATGTTCGCGATGCTTTTATACATTTTAGATTAGGCCTTAATGATTTATTAATATTAATTTTCTATGGAAAAAAACCCAAATATTATGCCTATTCTGTTACAATATTGAAGACGAATTCCATTTTATGTTTATTTGTCCTGTACATGAAAATCTAAGAAATAAGTATCTACCACAACTGTCTTTATCTCAAATCAATGTTAAACTATTGTCTTCCTTACTTTCCTGCAAAGAACCTCCAAAACAACACAAAGTAGCCCTATTTATTTACAATGCATTTTTGCGAAGAAAAGAATTGATTGGTTAGAAAGTTGATTATATATGCCATTGTGGATATGTATCTCTTTTGTATATGGGCCTATGGCCTTTCAAACAACAAAGAATTGAATTGAATTGAATTGAATTGATTGACCTACACAAGTGGGATACAATGACCTGGTTGTTACATGATGAACACATGATCCCGTTGGTTGCCCCGTACAACTGAAGATCAATTCTAATCGAGGGAGTTGGGTTTTACGCCGCTTTTAGCAATATTCCACCAATATCACGGCTGGGGACACCAGAAATGGGCTTCACATATTGTACCCATGTGGCAATTGAACGCAGGCCTTTGGCATGGCAGGCAAAGGCTTTAACATCTAGGCTACCCCACTACCCTGATTCTAATCGAGACCTTCATTGGGCCCCCTCACATAATGTACTCACCCTTCCATCAGCGCTACCTGAGATGAATACATCGCCTGTGGGTGAATAGCGCACACTGTTGACAAAGTTAGAGTGGACCTGCAACAGGGTGAGAGATAAATAATAATAACAATAATAGAAAAACTGCAACAGCGGACACAATAACATTCTAAAAACTTAGAAAAACTGGACAGACATACACGGGAAAAACACATACACAATGCCTATTCATTACTGTTATAATTTTCTTAACATAAACAAGTAAATGTTAAAGTTCTTTACAGCACTTCAGCACATCATCAGGGAAGTGAGTGAGTGAGGTTGTCATCATTTTACCAATATTCCAGCAGTATTAAAGTAGGGTTTAGCCAGAAATCGGCTACAGACCGTGTACCCATTTGGGTAATCAAACCACCATGTTCGTTATACCAGTGTGCGAAATTTACACTGGTCCCCTGGTGCCTGGCTAGTAAACATTCATCAGGACCACTTAATGATAAGTTTGCAGTGGTCCTGGTGGCTGGTGAATTTTGTTTTGGTTTCAACCCAGCTAATGAAACCTTTCAGTTCACTTTTAACAATGCCAGCGAGTGTTAATAAAAGTGTGTGTACACTTAGGGTCTTGCTGTACTTGAAGGGAGGTCCTTCCAGGAAGACGACTGTCTTGTCCTCCGCTCCAGTCGCAATCCTGAATGGGCGTGTCTGCTTGAAGGCGCGTGTTGGCCTCTTTTGTGTGGCCGGTTATTTCTCCCACGTTGTTCCCGGAGTCGGCTGTTATGCAGGCTCCGAACCTGGCGGAAATGAAAGCAATTCAAATGTAGCAACATCTTGTTACCGCAGCCCACCAAACAGAGTGAGAGTGAGTGAGTGAGTGAGTGAGTGAGTGAGTGAGTGAGTGAGTGAGTGAGTGAGTGAGTGAGTGAGTGAGTGAGTGAGTGAGTGAGTGAGTGAGTGAGTGAGTGAGTGAGTGGAGTGAATGAGTGGTGCTTTGAACAATACTACAGCTGTATCATGTTTAAGTCAACTTGATGTTCTATTTAGCAGTTTCAGGTGAGTGATGAGTGCCCTAATTATTCCCTAAGCAAAAAAATGGAAGTGTTACCATGGTTACAGGCCAAGGGCAAGATCAATCTAAGTGCAACAACAAATCTAAGCACTTTATAAAACATGCTCAAACAGCAGGGCAGGGCAGGGCAGGGCAGGGCAGGGCAGGGCAGGGCAGGGCAGGGCAGGGCAGGGGGGCAGGGCAGGGGAGGCAGGGCAGGCAGGGCAGGGCAGGGCAGGGCAGGGCATGCTCAAACAGTAGGGCAGGCAGTGGTAGGGGTAGGGGTGAGGTGGGTTGGCAGTTGAGGGTAGGGTAGGGTAGGGTAGGGTAGGGTAGGGTAGGGCAGGGGATAGGGTTATGCAAGTTCAGAATTGACAAATGATGCAGCATTTGTCACACTATTTATTATTTGGTACTTTTCCTACTCAGATCTCACTGGTAAAATGTATAATGTGTACGTAATACACAGATTCACTCCGGCTCTGTATAATAAATGCTCTTACTTCTCCCTGCCAGCTCCCACCATGACAATCCTTTTGCTATCCTCGGACCAGTCAAGGTCCTTAATCTTTCCCCCAAGGACGTGGAACTCATTCTTCAGTATGTGAGTTTTGTTCACAGTGTCCCAAATCCTAACCTTGCCTGTGATGTCTGCAAGTCAAACACAAAATCAACAGCAGAAACAAGCAGGATGTGATTAAAGTGTTTCAACCGTCTTTCCAATACCACTGTTGTATTAATACAGTGTGAGGTCATAAGCCACCTTTACCAGATTCCACCAACATCATAGTGAGGGACACTAGAAATGGACATCACATGTTGCACCCATGTAGGGAATCGAACCCGGGATTTGGACCGTGATGAGTGGACGCTGTAACCACTAGGCCACCCCACTGCCCACGGTATCAATACAAGTCTATGAATATCCATGCAATATAAGTATTTCACTTACATTATACATTATCATCAACACTATAGTCAGGATGGATGATTTGAAGCAGAAATAAACGGGAACATTTTACTGATACACATACAGATTATGAATCCTGGCATGAAGTTAACAATTCAACAATCGCTTGTTGCTGCTGAATATGAACTGTCCAATTGAAGCAGAATTTTGATCAACTGAGATATGCATATAAATAATCACTATTCTGATTACTGAAGCCAGTTTTCCCTAGGGAAACGTTCCAAATTATGTTGACTGTAACAGGCTAACGGGCAGAGACTACTGCCCAGTGTCTCCGAGGTGACAGTGTCTCCATGACAACAGTGATTGATATGACGCACCATTCCTTGCTGTACATTTCAGTAACCCATGCTTGTCAAAAAAGACGTAACAAGATCGGGTGGTCAGGCTCGCTGACTTGGTTGGCACATGTCATCGGTTCCCAATTGCCTAGATCGATGCTCATGATGTTGATCACTGGATTGTCTGGTCCAGACTTGATTATTTACAGACCGCCGCCACATAGTTTGAATAGTGCTGAGTGTGGTGTTAAATAACAAACCAAACCCAAGAACCTTGCTATACATACCTCCTGATGCAATATAGAAGCCACTGGGTGAATACTTCGCTACAGTTGTCTCCTTTGCATGCTCAGAGTAGATATCCACAATGGATGGGTCCTGAAAGAAATATGAGGTTTGGTCAAAACTCAGAATCAACTATGAAAACTGCATTCATTCTACATGACTATTAATAAAACCAAACTGTCAATCAAATGATTAACATCAAAATAATCATTATCATACTATGGCCATTAAAACCTATGTTAAAGAGGAAATGTTTTGGGGCTTTAGCACATGACTTTAAACTCTGCCTATCAGTCACTTTAATTGTCAATAAATAAACCAGTTTTCAATTTTCCCATGATATGAATGAAGCAGGTTCCATTATCCATGCATGACAAATGTCAAATACAAAATATTCCAGTTCGATCTGTGCAAGTTGTGTCTTCTGGCATTCCTTTTATGAATGGAAATGTCCCTCACTTATTACGATTGTTTTCAAAACAAATTTCAAAAGTCCTTCCTCACTTCAAGGAATAATGCACAAGAAACTTCGAAAAATGATAATCAGTTTCCATCAAAGACTTAATTGTGAATATGACACAGAAATTAATTATGTAAAAGAATCTCCAAAGTAGAATTCTTTCATATACTGCTCTGCTCTAATATGGGTTCCATCAACAAGTTCTAGACCAATGTTTACCAAATCTTTGTGAGCACCCATGCATGAGACAGTTTGTATTTTCTTGTGTATACTATATATGTTTTGTAGAAGAACATTTATCTTGGCAAAAAAGAAACAATTAAGTCTTTTCTTAATAAATGGAATGACCTGTGTCCAGTTCTATAAAGAGAATGGTTTTCAAGAAGCAGGGATTTGCAGGACGCGAATTCCCAAGTCTTATACGCATAAAAATTTACAATGGACACAGCAAAATTTATTAGTGCATCCACAGGGACTCAGAAAAAGTCTAAAAACTTTTTGTAAAAATTCCATTCAAGTGATAATACGTTATCACTGAGTTTGCTACTAGCTGGGTTATGGTATCATTTGCAATTTAATTACTGTAACAATGTGATGATCATGATACACAATACAATAACAGTATTAATAATAATATTTAAGTGTCTGGGACCCCCCTTTTGTTGTCCAGGAACCCTGAAAATTAAGAGTATGAGTCCCAGGGACCCTCAAACACAGGACTCCATGTAAATCCCTGAAGAAGTATCCCAACCACATGATCATAAGACTTATTAATACTGCTTTTGCCCAGACTGCATAATCTTAAATCTCTTAACAATTTTTTTAGAATTTTATACAATGCAATGTTCCCAGAATCCCTGTATAGATTTACAATTACAGGAATATAAAGAAATTTGATAAAATATTGGAATCCCAACTTCTCCTTAAAATGTCTTTTCATCTGCAGAACAGATATTATATGAATCCAGGGTTTGACAGGACACACAAATATGCATCCTGTAGACACAAATGTGGAGAATGAACGCCGAAACCCCAACATGCTGCTTTCAAAGAGACGCACAAATTGTTTGATCGGCATTCTAGAAGTTGGTGACTCAAAAATGAAACATACAACTTTATGGACGACAACTTATAATTACATACAACGTACAATAAGAAGTTGTCATCCATAAAGATGTATGTTTCATTTTTGAGACACACAAAAATACCTATTGTGCATCAGGAGTTGATTAAGTAGTTATCTGTGTTTGTTATTTCACCCATCAGCCATGACCACTGTCCACATGTCACTGATTCATTCCAGACTCTGAAGTGATCATCTGGACGTACACTACACCGTTCCAATACTTTACCGGACACTCATAGTAGAGCTGTGATGATATATCGTACTATCGATAATCGTGATACTTTATCTAACGATAAATATATCGATATGTTTTTCCGTATAGTGATATGTATCGTTTGCCTTAAAAATTGTTAATGTTCACTGGCTATTGACGGTTATATCAAAATTTACGCTGTCACTTGCTATTAAAAACTAACTAAAGAAAACATATCGTGATATGCATCAAATTGAATCGTATCGTTCCAAGATATCACGATACGTATCGTATCATTTAATTTCTATATCGTCACACCTCTACCTCATAGTCATAATACCAGCAAGGACATGTAAAATTTATCAATGGGGATCCCCTGAATGCCCACTTTTGTAAGTCAAGGTAAAACCCTGTGAATCTCTTACCTCAATATTACGAATGTAAACACTGGTACCGTGACAATAGAGAAAGTTTTTTCCCTTGGGATCTTTTCCCAGAACTATAGGACGACCCCTCTCTGTGCGAGGCAGAGTGGCAAAACAACTTTCTGAAAAAAGGAAGAAAACATACAGTGTCATGCTGGGTCATGGATAAATCACAAAAACATGGATAGAGGAATAAGTATGGTTTTACGCAGCTTTTAGTTTTAGCAATATTCCACCAATATCACGGCGGTGAACACCAGAAATGGGCTTCACACATTGTACCAATGTGGGGAATCAAACCCAGGTCCTCGGCGTGATGACGAGCGAATACTTCAACCACTAGGCTACCGTAACGCCCCACCTGGACAGATGACCGCCTCCGTGGTGTAATGGTTAGAGCGTCCACCCGGAGAGTGCAAGGTCGCTGGTTCGATCCCTTAACCGGCGCCGTAACTCCAAAAAGACGTTAAAATATGGTCTTGTTGGTCCCTGTCTAAAGCTTACATTAATGGGTACAACAAGGACAGGTCGGTCGATCAGTATAATGTGTCTGACCTTATTCATGTTTCACTGCGGTATGGTATCTCAGTGGGCTACACTAGAAACCAGCTTAAGTCTGGGCTAGTACAAGCAGGGAACATACACATACCACGCGACGCTAAGTCAGCCATACGAGTGAACACTTCAACCACTAGGCTAATTTCACCTCACCTCACCTGGACAGATATAGGACTAAACTAAAACTAAAGTGTTGATTTAGACAGTTTTCCTAAAGCGAGTCCACTTAATTTTAATTATGTACGCTCTACACACCAAAGACCCAGGTTCAATGCCTCTGTTCATATCACACATTTTGTTCATAACACAAATTTTGTTCATTCCACAAGTTTTGTTCTAAAGTCGACCTGGATATCCCTCACACTAAGAAATGCAAATAAAAACTAGGTCTATGCCAGTCTCACTCAGAATAGTCTGGAGTAGTTGCTGATTTGAAGCAGTTGATCAAGATATATTATGTACAGTGTTTGCAGTAGGGAAGACAGCATCACGTCTAGTCTCGCAGTCCCTGAAGTGCATTGCCTGAGGTAGTTATTGATCAGTCAGGACAATACCATGGAATTAGGATTCGGAACTTTGTATTTCTATGTCAGATACACGCCAACATGATTCAAAGGCACAGTTGTTACCAATGAAACAAAATGTATAAATCATCGCCAGCACACAAAGGCAGTGATCCAACCACCACGGCTTCCTCAAAAATGGAAGCCAGACAACTGATTTTTAGATCACGTACATTGAGTTCGGAATTCAGTTGAGATAAGACACATGACGACTGTCTTTATGACATCCATGTTTCTTATAAAAAATAATTAGTAAACAACGTTTTATCAGCTTAATAAAGGTACGATATTATATGGATAACAGCTTCTGTATTATATTACAATGTCACGTTTCGGGATAGATTCTTATACCATTGTCAAGCAGGAGTGACTGAAAATGTTAGCACTGAAAGAGTGAGTGAGTGAGCACTGTTTTACGCCGCTTTTTGCAATATTCCAGCAATATCACGGCGGGGGACACCAGAAATGGGCTTCACACTAGCACTGAAAGAAAACAGAAGTCAGTATACAGTTTTACATTTTTACCTTCTAATCCGACCATAATTAGTCTATTTTAATGTTTTCAAGCAGTTTGACTGATTTATTTCTAGAAGTTCCAATCTGTTAACCATAGGGACTGACGTTTCAGTCAAATTGTGAAAGGACTGAATAATCAATACATTATCATATAAATTGACTGGATGAATCAAATTTTACTCGTACATTCCTTCAATGAAAACAACTTGCAAGAACTTTCCAATGATAACATATATGCACTAGAATGATTCTGTTCAATGCTACAACAAATGAGAAAACAAAATGCGAAAACATGTATCACAAATTACACAGACAAAAGTTCTATGCAAAATAACAGGCTGTTACCTTGTTAGAGGAATGCATTCATCAATATCCACATAAAAGAACAATATCCCATACATCTGCAGCTGACAGAAAGCCTTGTTCAATGTCATGTGTCTTTTTACCTATCTAATATTTCATACATCTATCATTTCGGGATAATATGATGGCGTTCATTTCTCAACTGGTCGTGTAAGTTTGTTTCAGATGTATCACCAATGGTGTCAAGCGTCATTTAGACAGAATGAGAATTCTGGATCAGGGTAATCTAAAGCTTCATTTAATAGATGAAGCCTTAGTTGGACCCTTCCCATTACCATCTACTACCCCTCTACAAAGCTTTATTTCACAAATAAGACTTTAGTTGGGGACCCTTACCATTACCTCTACTATAGTGGTATCTTACCTCTATGTCGTGTTGACGGGAGGTAGCATTGTGTCATACGGTATGATTAATAATTCTTCTCTTACAAACCCTCTGCCCGGCCCATCCCTCAAGAAATACAAGGTAGGTTCGCCTGCTTTCATATCAACTTTATCTATGTTGTAAGTTTTGATTGACCATATCGGATCTGTGGCTCGCCACGGCTATCCCTTCGTGTTCCCCGGCTGGTATAGGTACCTCACGAAATTCTATCTGGTATCTGTTTCTCCTTCCCACGCAAAGGAGCGCCGCTCTGCTGCTATCGATTTTAATTTGATAGCGCCTGCCGGCTTTTTACCGGTGAGACGAAGTGACTTCATGGTTGATTGCCGACACCACCTTAGGTAACCTCGTGACCCATTCAGTCGATCGCTTTCCTGGGTTGGTCATCTCTAGCGCATTGGATACCCAAATAAACGCCAGCCAAAGTCCTATTAAATCTCTCTACTATAGCTTGACTGCGATGGGCTCCAACCCGTACACGCCTCACTCAGACTTTGTGCTTAGTCAGCAACTGAGACACAACTCCCATGAACTCCCGACCAGGGTCAACTTGAGCTCTGTTGGCCACGCCAGCGGACTGGCGCTTTGTATATGCTCCATGGCTTGAGCCACCTGATTCGAGTCTTTCGCGGTCAAGGGTTCGGCTTCCTTGTAGCGACTGGCCACATCCACGACTGTTAAGGCATACTTGTACCTCTTGTCGTGGGTAGGAACAGCAGGTCTGCCTGGTGAACGCTATTAGGTATGTTAATACCAAACTTCCTTCTAGGCACATAGCGTGGTGGTGGTAAATATATCTGCCAAAGTGCTTGTTTTTCAAGCCATGTTTTAACCTCCTCCGGGGATACTCGCGCCATTTTAGCCAGCTTATCTACAGCGTTAGCTCCTTTCCAATATCCACGCGGACTGTAGTAAATAGCCTCAAACTTTTTCTGGTTCCGTGACATGTCACTATTTATTTATACCTATGTTCTTGGTTCAATTTTTTCATGCCCAGACGCTGCACGTGTTTATCCCATCAATAGCTATCCAACGCTTGGTATCCATAGGGATAATGATGTTTTATTTATAGTCAGCCCAGATATCCTATGCCCATCACTTCTAAGTGTGTTCATTTTATGTTTAAAGGTACGGGTCTTGAACAGGGCTTCCTTTGAATCTGGCGCGGTTTGATGTGTTGTTTCACCACGCACTTTTTAACACCCTTAGCTTTCCGGATTTCACCATTGTCGGCCTTCAGTATAGAGTACATCTTAGGCCTCAACCCTATGTACTCGGCTATGGGCGTGCCAGCACACTCGCCCTTCATCTTACCTAGGACCTTTTATTCACCGTGCTGTGTATGGTATGGTCCTTGGGGTAGTCGCTGGTGTCGCATAAATCGAGGTGTTTTTTCATGTCATCGCGACACGCCCTCGGTTCGAATCTCCATCAGCAGGGAATCTGTGTCAGTGTATAGCACTTCACACCTGTCGCCGCATTGTTTCTTCAGCTCGTTGTAGTAAAAGTCATACATCAAGTGTTTGGATAAATCGAGGATGCTCATCCCAACGTAAACAGGCCGGTTTAATATTATGTGACTTTTCTTCATGTGTATGGCAGCCAGGTCGTTATCGAATATCTTACTACGGTTGAATGCAGGGTTAGCGATCAGCTTCCTGAGTTTTTCCTCCTCATTCGACCGAACCAGCTTCACGCCCACGCCGCTTTCCTCAGGTTCTCCATCGCCTTACCGAATACCGAAGTTGTTCATGAGCTTATACAAGTTTTTCTCAAAGTCACTGGTGGCCAGCTCGGAGGTCCGCGGTTCATTCTGATGTAAGGCTCCATCCAGGGGCTCTGGTTGAACACTTCAGCACTCTGTGTATTTTGGTCAGTTTCATACCCAACGACAGGTACAGCTGCAGGTTGCGTATAGTGAACTATGTATTTGGTCTTATTCATTAAGTTAGGCACGAAGTTTTCAACGCCGCCACCCGCCTATCTAACAAGTTATGTTGGTATTCAGACATCCAGTTGGGTTAACCCTCATACGCTCGAGCTAGCGGATAGCTGTTGTGTGATTCGTGTAATGCCTTGGGATACTCCAAGTCAACTCGAGGATATAACCTTTGTTCGAATCCGCGCCGATGCTCATAATATCGAAATCGGATGATACCCATTTGAATCCCCTGTTGGTAGATACTGACTCATGGCCCATCCGCACAGGTTATTTGGCCGAGATAGAGAATGTGATTGGTTGGTTTGCTAGGGTCAGAGCCATTCACGTATTGATTATTTGCTTTAGCGTATCGCTTGGTTGCCATGGAGATCCCACCTCGCAAACCTTTCTCAATGAACAGGTGCATGTCATAATCAGTAAGCAATTCCAACTTAACTCCGGGTCTTTTAAGCAAGGCATCCCACGACAGGCCTGGGCTGGTGTAATACCATGCTGGATCTAGTTTATACTGCTTGATACATGTCCTCCTAAATGTCTCAAACACGCCGGGCTAATAGTAGTACATCCATCTTCAAGTACAGATCGTGATAGTCACCCAGGTTTTACAACCAAGTTTATTCCATACATTAATAGCGCACGAGTAATCGCTTCGGATATTTCCGAAGTCTGTCAGATTGCTGTAAAATTCTCTGATGGGAGGTAGTCTGGTCTCGCGAACTTAGTCCAACTATCCATGTACTCATAGGGATACACACCCTTCCTCATAAGCAGAGATCTAGTCTCGGCGCCTGTGTA